CTGGACTGAGCGCAACTGCCATGGCGGTCTTTCCTCCCCTACACATATTATCAGGGAAAGCTAAGGGTTTGACAATTTCCACTCGACAACACGTACATGGAATGGCCTAGAAGCGAGATGTTTGTAAGGGAACGCTCGCGGCAAAATTCAAGTACGTCCACTGCCATAGCAGAGTATGTCATAGGTTCTGCATGAGGAGAGGATCCGTGATTTCTGAGATCCTTGCCATCATCTCAAGCCTGTTCGACGATAGTTGGGTCACGATAAGGACTTACAAGAGCATAAATTGGTCTGCCCAAGTCCCGTAAAAATGCTTTCGTAAGAGATAGCCAATTCCTCTTCATACCACTGATGATGAGCGAATTTTTGAGTGAAGGTCTGGGTTTAGCGTAAAGTTTAGTCTCACAAGAGGCCATGTAGAATTACTAGCGGCTTGTCTGTTTCGTTCCCGTTTGGTGGCACGAGCTTGTCATATTGAAGGGGTACTGGAGTTACTATCCCAGAGTGAGATGTTGAGAGCAGCCTGATAAATGTAATACGAGTAGAATTCGGTAGTAGAGATTTTGTGCGCTTTATGCGGGGGGAAATAACTGGGGATATTCTCATGAAGGGCAAGGTGGAGGATGGAGACGACAACCTATCCGAGAAACCGGAGGGCTATTCGCGACCAACGCGGGACACACGTCCCCGCGTCAAATCATACAGAGTGACGCGTCGACAGGCATTCTGAATTCTTCAAAGTTCAATCATTATACAATTGAACTTGAACGCTTATTTTCTCTATTCCAGTCGTACTGTTACTGTACATCATCTGGCGATAAACGGATATCCGAAGCCTGCAAGAGCGAAGGCTCAAGGAAGTATTCACTGCTCACAGGAGACTAGGCTAACTCTCATTTCTTTAACTGCTCATGCCGTGCTCTTCTATGCCATCCAAATTCTGCTACTCCGTTTGAATCCAAAAACTGTCCTCTCATCCTCATCACTTGTACCACTACAAAGGTGTACGAAGATGCTCGTAGACGATTCGGATTTTATCGTAAGGTTATCCTTCCATCACGCGCTCAGCAAAGCAAGATTGAGTTCTTCGTCTATCCGTAGATTAAGCGAAAACGCAACCGTGCAGGGCCGAATGCTCCTCTCCTTGCATCGTTGAATCTCCCAGTAAGGAATGTTCGTTATCGTCGGCCTTACTCCAACGCTAATACGTTATTCCAGCAATCTAGCCGTACGGCACATATTGCGGTTGACCTTGCTCCTCTTACCTTACAAGAACAACATTTGACGTATAGACAACCGTCTCTACCGAAAAAGCTTCTTGACGTAGATCTTGCGCCGATAACTGTCGAGAGCTTTTTGCGGTGGTCCGCTCAAACACCGACGGAAACACGGAAGCAAAGACATCGACGCAAGATCAAGTTAATGTCTGACCATATAAGACGAGGTTGTAATCTCGCAGACGACAGGAGACACTCGGCTTTAAGCGTTGCTGTGCGTCGTCCCCATCAGTACGCTCGACGTTTCCCTACGGGAGACAAGGTTATGAATTCCCTCACTGCATTTCATACCACAAGACCTCGAACGTTCAAGCGGAAGGAAGGAACGCTTGCTGGGCGTCTCCTTACTGCTGCGGTGCTCTCTCATGTTGAGCCAATACACCACATCGTTGATCCATCAGTGGATGCGCATACATGCACTCGCATCCCTCTTCTATTTGGTCGCGCTGATCATGCATCTTCTGTCCCACCGACGCACTGTTCTCCACAACTGAAACCAGATGACCCACGAAAATCTGTTCGGTTCTGCGTCCAAGGGAGCGGCTTCAATATCTCGGACGAGATTTCGCACCCATCGATCCCACCTCGAATGCAGCTCGAGAAACCGATATCAAGCTGGATGCCTAATTCCCTTGCGCGGAATATTGAGCCTTCCAGCAAACGTCGCAAACTCTCGCTCGGACTTGCCAAGGATGTCAACGAATCTGAGTCTAACCAGGTGCTACGCAATGTCATTCCGTTTACTCTCGTGCCATTGCAGCTACATGAGGCACAGTTGCATAAAAGGTTCATCTCTATTGACACTGTCCATTGAGTCCAGATACTAAAGAACTAGATGAACTTTATTTCAGGCGGCAGCTATGTGCGACAAATGACGTGTCCGAAGCGTCATTTCGTAAAGGTGACCAATCGAAACGTACCGACTATACCCCGTTTCCTCTGGTTTTGATCACTGCCAATATGAAGCGTGCGAGGTGCAGAGATGGGGTATCTCGTGCTTGTGAAAGCAGTGAACATACCCAGAAATATATCGCGAACTCGTCTTCGTCGCCTCATTCCCTTGTTGGCGATACTTGTCTAGAGGCTTCGCCATCGTCGGTGTTATCTGGGCACGGTCCTGATACCATCTTTGGAGAATGCACAAGATTTTCCTGTCCTCCTGCCGTTGTACCCCTGACACCTACCGGAGAGTCGCATGGTTCTACGTCTTCCGTAAATTATTCTATGGACACGAGAAATTTCGCTAACAGACTACACCTTTAGGTTGACTCATGCAGACAATACTCAGATGTTGTCGACCCTGTGACATCAAGAATTCAATCATCGCCATGCATACATCCTGCCCTCATAGGCGACTCCCAGATTGAGAAAGAAGATGAAGCCGGTGTACGTTCCATGAGACAGAACCAGGAAAAAACTGCATCTAGCGGTGGACCATCGACGTCTCGTAAGAAACTCAAGCCACTCGGCTCATACTTAGACACTTTTGCAGAGACGGCACGAAATGTAACGCTTCTAGAGCTCTCTGCGCATGCAGCCCATAAGCCAAATACTTCCCATCGACAGTACAGCGCTCGGAAGCTGCGGAATAGATGCCGTCGACATACCACACTGGTAACCTCCGGGCGAGTGGAAAAACCTTCTCATTATCGACGGCGAGACCGGGATTTATCACCGTGCCAGTAACCACGTCCGTCCATGCATTCTGTGTAATATGCTGTTTGACTTTACATAGACGCAGATTTGTGCTCGTGAGGCTTTGACACCTTCAACATATTCTTGCATCCACAGTCTTGTACTGGTAGAGATATGGACTGTGTTGTAGCGCTAGCAGGACAAGCCGGAGTAGATGCGACTGGTAGGATGTGCATATCGCAAATGCCCTGTTCTTAGTATGGGATGTCCGTTTGTGTACAGTCGTAAACTGCACCAGTCGCTCTTAGACACTATTTTATTCCAAATGACCCTAAGGGAAAATTTGGTCTAGAGCAATTGCAACGAGACGCTTACGTAATATAGGAGGCTGCACACCTTGCACGTGCCGCCCGTGATTCCATCTTAGGACGTAGACGGGACGACTCCTTTCATTGCCGTTATTCCTTCGTAAGGCGTGCGGCCGTGCTTTACAACGCAACCAATCTTGCGCCCTCGCGGACAATAAAAGGGAACCAAAAAAAGTAATCCTGCCCTTTTTGTGCGTCCTTTCGAAGGATTTAAGGAGTTTTCATTGGTATCTGGCTCAAATACATTGCTTGGCTCTTGCTTGCATGTCAATTATTGTGGGTATATTGTTTGGGAAGACTTAGCAAAGTGGTTAGAATGCAGTTCCTCATGACATAAACTGATATGTAATGCCACATACTTCAGATGCTCTTACTACTTCAAAATTTGCATTTTTCATTGCAGGAGCTCCAAAGTGACTGACCACAGGTCAGATGTGGTAGGAGCTCCCACGATCATTGCGATAAAGCATTACTCGAAATCAATGATAAAGCAACCATGCATAAGCATAGGTATACTGCTAGTATTTTATGAAGTACAACAGAGACATCTTTTTTACTAACCCCATCCCAAAGATGGTCCCCAGTCAGTAAGCTTATAAAATGACAGAACGGAGACATCTCTTTTTAAATGAGAGGAATCTCTAGCTCGCATTCTTTGCAAACGCTGTTGATTTGCAATGGGCGTTGTGAACCGGCGCCACTGGCGCCTCTCCACCCCAAGTTTTATTGAATCGTTGATTCCCTGCTAGCCGTACCTCGTGACCGCGACTATATCCGCGTGAAGCCCTGTGAAGCCGGATGAGCGCTAGATACTCTCCGCATTCTGTTCGCATCGCAACCGTTGTCTAAAGCTCAGACAAGTCCACGTCTACTTTACCTCTTAAGGGTTTTAAGGCGTTCTCCACTAACTTTACTAATATACTTGGTTCTTGTTTCTGCGACACAATAGTCAAGAACCGAGTCTAAGTTATGTGGAACGACCGCTATAACTCAGATGATCAACGTAGGTACGCACCGCCGCCTGGACCACCGGGAGATTCAGGGTAAGTCGTGTACACATGTGCCCGGTATGATATGACTGGAATCGCTTCGTAGATACGGATTTCCGTCGCCGTAAGTGGTACCAGTGCGCCCGGTACAGGTCGAACTTGACGAATTGCTTAGAGACTTCCCACATACGTCGCGCGACTACAATCCGGCGTATTTACCGCATCCCGGAGCACCCCCCAGAGGGTACGTTTAATTTGAAACAGTGAAGGCTCTGGCGTCCTAATGAGTGCGTGAAGTTCTAGCCCGTTTGCGCCGCCGCCAGGGCCGCCTCCTGGTATGTCAGGATACCCGGGAGAAGAACACCATCTGCACCACCACCACCATCATCATCATCACGAAGGAGGATTTGCACCTCCACCAGGCCCGCCTCCTGCCATCCCCCCCAGGCCGTTGTCCAACTCATATGCGCCACCACCAGGTCCTCCTCCTCCACATCACTACGCTCCCCCTCCCGGTGCTCCTCCGGGACAATACGGCCCGCCGTCTAGTCAGTATGGATCACCCCTAGGTCCTCCTCCTAGATCGTATGGTGGATATGCGCCGCCGAGTAAGGTCTAATTCCAGTCGTGACGATAGGAAGAAGCCCTGACGATTAGCATAGCCGGTCCTCCTCCTAGGCCTCCAGTTGAGCACCAGCGTTATGGGCCGGTATTTGAGGGGCAGGACCACTCCAGACAACAGCCTTTTTTCCAATACTCGCAGTGTACCGGGAAAAGGAAGGCTCTATGCGTGCGTACTTCATAGTCATTAGCAGAAGAAGGGCAGGCATCAGGCTAACGGGCGTTACGTAGATTGGTATTAACTATATTGGTCAATCTGCGGAGCTCCACGGATGCATTAATGATGCACACAACATGAGACGTTTTCTTATCAGTAAGTATATCATTCTTCACGCGCGAAGGATCTATAACTTAGTATGCTACGTGTTTCTCATTAATGGCTGTGATCTAGACGAGTACGGATATCGGGAGAATGACATCGTCATGCTCACTGACGACCAGGCGGATCCACGATCAATCCCGACTAGAGCCAACATGGTAAGCTCATCTGTGACTACTATTCGTTTGAGAAATCTGATAGTTTGAATGAGGGCTTCAGATCGATGCATTACAATGGCTTGTGCGCGGTGCGCAGCCACACGACTCGCTCTTTTTGCACTGTATGGTATAGCTTCTCTTACCACACTCTTCCTTTTGACAATACCCTCTGTAGACTCCGGTCACGGTGGTCTTACGAAGGATCTTGACGGAGACGAAGAGTCTGGGTATGACGAGGTGATCTATCCTGTGGACTTCCAAGCAGCGGGACAGTTGGTAGATGATGTATGCCTTCCGTATACCACATGGGCCTTCGCTTTCTGACATTCCGAGCCTTGCGAGTAGGATCTGCACAACATAGTTGTCAAGGCCCTCCCACCTGGATGCCGCCTGACTGCTATCTTCGACGTGCGTTCCTCTACTTTCCGATATATGACCGCTTATTGATATTGAGGTGTCGCGGTCAGTCGTGTCACTCCGGATCGGTTTTAGGTAAGATGACTCTCCAGTCCTTCATCTTAATTACCGTGGCCGCTCACGGATCCTTCAGATTTGCCATACATGTATAATCATGAGGGGAAAATCAAAGAGCCCAATCTGGCCGCAGAAGCTGCTCAAGGATTATTAGGTGCCGTCAGTTCTTACGCACGAGGGGACATTGTACGTGATTTTCATTCGGATAGTGTTCCGGGTATGACTCGTAGGCCTTCTGTGTAGATGGACGCATTTGGCTCTATTTCAGGAATCGTGAAAGGGGTGTCGGGCTTTCATAGTGGTGCTCGGGAGAGGAAGCAGCAGACTAAGACGAGTCCTGCCGATGTGGTTCGTGCAGCTCATGACATGTCACCTGGGGCGATTTCTCATTGTATTACATGACAGATTTGCTGGGGTGGCTGCAAAGACCAACAGACTAGCGCAGACACATTTGAGGGAGGCCAGGCAGTAGGCGCAATGAGCTATGTGAGTAGTCTATCAGGGTCCGCCAGAATAAATCCTGATCACGGTTGCAGGCCTTTATAAGTGTCTTGAGTTTGTCCCCCATTGCTTTCGTGTGTCATGCGAGGCTCATATTCTTTCCAGGCCAAAATAAGCACCAGAGCTATCAACAGCTACTCGTCAACGTTCGGTACGTACCATCGGATATAGCTCTTTATCCTGTACGATGCCTCCCTTCTGACCCATCTCTTCAGCGAGGTTTTATACGGAAAATACAGCCAGAAACCACAGCTATCGAGCTCTCATCCCATGGTGAGTCGATTACTGACATTCTCTGAATCTTGTTCACATAGTCTTCCTCTAGGACACGAATTTGATGTTCATTTGTTGAATGGCAGACGTTGATACAGCTGTACAATTGTACCAATGTGTTTAGACCTACGAATATCAGAGCCGATGAGGACTTGTATGATTTTGTTTCGCAACTTGTCATCGTTCTTCGCCGTACTGGGAACGCTATAAATGTAAAGAATAGATATTCTTGCGCGAGGCGGACGAGAATAGAGTGTAGTGTATCCGGGGCTCCGCGGCAACGACGCTTTTTTTAAACCAGCCAGGAGCGGGCCGTGTCCTCGGAGGTTGTACATGCCGTTTACCTGTACGTGACGTCGACCACTAGAGCAGGCAGCGCAGATCTTGACCGGCTCCGCATTGAATGACAAGGAAGAATGGATGCGGGGTATGCGGGGTAGAGAAGAGGACGTGCCTTGACATCCCACCCGAGAGGCGTCGGGGGCAATATGTGTGACGTTGTGGGCCACACTGACCATTACCTCCGACTCTTCATACGCGAGGACTATCGCGGACGATCAGCAGCAAGACGGTCACGCAAAGGGAGAATGAATCATCTTTTTGCTCCCCCTTGATCCACAGTTGCTTTTTGGGGGCGGCTGCATGACCGTCGGTAATGAATCGGACCGGAAGTCGCTAGCGCAGCACGTACGCCGTACAGTCTGATCAACGCGGTCGCAGATGGTGAAGACGTCGGAGTCGGAGTCCCGTTCCAGTGTTGCACCCTGGAGGGCGCTTTGGTTTTATTCGGCGGTGAAGGGCCGCGAAAGGAGCGCACCGGAACGCGGACATAGTGAGGCGAGACTCAAAGATAACGCTGGGAGGTTCAAGGTTAGAGCACAAGACACTGAGAAATCGCAATCTCGAGATTCACTCAAGGTCGCAGGCTGCCGTTCACTGACTTTGAGGCTGGGTTTCGCATTCGACTCATCGCCGTACCAAGGTCGGGAGGAACCGCCGGCGGTGGATAACGCTCGTCGTCCTGCTGAGACCGTGGAAGTGACAATGGGCAGAAGCTGAAGAGACTCGTCATCGCATCTGTGTGCTCCTAGGATGGCGCTAAGAGCTTAGAGAATGGTATCGGACATCCGTGCACTGTGACTGTGGCAATGCTGCTGGTCGTCCGGCTTAATGCGAGCAGCATGTGCCAAGAGTCTCCGCCTTTTGCTCACCGCACCCTTGGAAGGTCCGGTAGCAGCCTGGAGAACTTGAGGTCAAGGCCGACATAAGACCGGGCGCCGTGAGGTGGAGCGTCGAAACTGGTTGAGTACATGAAGATCACTGAAATCTCCACACGCTAGCTGGGTATGATGCTTGTTGTCTTATGAACTCGCAGCCGCGTATCTACACCATATTGCAGGGCCTGGGCGAGTGGTCGAGACTCGAGGCTGATCACACAAACGAGACTTTCGACGAGAACATCGGGGGAAATGGGTGACAACTTGACAAGTGCTCGCTGTCCCGACCAGTAACGGGAGGCTGCGGCTGAAGATTCGCCCACCATGCATAGCCTCAGAATTTGAGAACATGCAACCTTGCGAGATGGTAGAATTATGATCCGAGAATGGCCCGCCAACAGGATGTCGGAAGCATAAAGGACTACCGCCAAGCCAAGACTGGCGGAGAGTCCAAGTTCAGACCTCCCAGGCAGAAGCATCCGTATAGCAAGCAGGTATCGAGACCGAAGCGACACATCTCCATGTACGTCGTCACTGGATGAAAATATTGATCAAAGTGAAGCAAAGGACGCTGGTATCTGAATCTGAGATATAAATCCTGCGGAGGGGACCGGTCCGCGTAACGTAAATGAACGCGGAGAAGTGGAGTTCCTGCTCAGCTGCTAGTTCCTGTTGAACCCATTGGCCAAAGATCGACGGCCGGCAGAAAAATCAGACGACCTGCGCTTGCCAAACCTTTCGAGGCGTGGTGGGCTTTGATGAATGATCCTGCTTGATCAGTCCGTCCGTGCCTGTTCGCCGGGATCGTGATCAGGTGGATGTGAGCCGAAAGTGGGCTCGAATTTAGGGACACGAACAATACGCGCTCGGGGAAATTCACATAAGTAGCCCGTGATAGCGGCTGCTCGTCGTACCCCAGGCCCTCTGGTACGCAACCCGTAACGTTTGTATTACCGATCCATTATGGCTGGCGGAGGTGTTGTGCAAGCAACGAGTCGGAGGAGGACATTACAGGGCAAGTCCGGCTGGGTATGAGTTTATTTATTTCAATGGCGAATACGTACTCAAGATGTTTGAAGGCGGGACTCGTACACAACCGCAAAGTATTCGCCATTGCTGTATTCGCCTCTTTGGGTGGTTTGTAAGTGTTGAAGATATGTAAATTAGCTGGCCCATAGTCTGACTTCACCTTCATAGACTATATGGTTGGTGGATCGCTAATTGAACTGGGACGATAGCTCACCGTGAATTCCATCGTGTCCAGGATACAACCAAGTAAGCGCTTTATGTCCACCAAATTAGCGTTCTCCATTCTCTGACAGCTATAATCGATTAGGGCGTATTCTCTAGTGTCCTCACGTACGTCACTGAAGTCCTCCGCAAATATGGGCCTAACGAACGTGCAACAGCATGTCGAACTTCGACAAGACAATGGCTTCGTCGGTAAACAATTCCGACCTCAAGGGCTGGCTTGTCTCAGTCCTAGAGCTTGGAGCATGGCTTGGTGTCCTCTGTACGGGTCCTTTAGCAGATTATTTGTCGAGAAAGTACTGTATCGTTATGGGTGAGTAAGATCAGCAGCATAAAGTTTGACGAGTCGGCTTACATATGTAATCAAATCAGCGGTCATTGTGTTCTGTATCGGCGTAATTGTTCAGGACACTGCGTTCCATCCTGGATCCATCTATGCAGGTAGGCACTCCAATGAGAACACCTAGAGTACGAAATCGACATCGTATGCGTCATCTGCTAGGTCGATTCATCACTGGATGGGGTGTTGGCTCACTGAGTATGGTGGTGCCACTCTATAAGTAAGCTGTCTAAGTATGTCAGTATTCCGGCCAGTTATTGACCTGCCTTCATAGTGCCGAGTTGGCACCTCCGGAAGTACGCGGAAGTCTCGTCGCGCTCCAGCAGTTGGCCATCACATTTGGCATCATGATATCCTTCTGGATCGACTACGGAACAAATTATATTGGGGGTACCGGCTCTACCCAGTCACCTGTAGCTTGGCGTCTTCCCATCGCACTTCAGCTTGTCCCGGCTATAACTCTGGGAGTCGGAATCCTGTTTATGCCCTTCTCCCCCAGGTGAGCTGGCATTGGATGATTATACAGTTGGCAATTAGCGCTCACCATCGACACCAACAAGATGGCTGGTGAACAAGGGCCGCGATGAAGAAGCTTTGATGGTGCTCAGCCGGGCTCGAAGTTTGCCTCCAAACTCGGAGATCATTCAGATCGAGTTCCTGTACGTTTCCCAGCACCAGTGGTGATATAGTTATTGATCTAAATTTCTTGTAGGGAGATTAAAGCACAGTACCTTTTCGAGAAAGAAACTGCGGAGATTAAGTTCCCTCAATTCCAAGATGGATCATTTATGTCGAACGTGAAACTCGGATTGTTCGAGTACTGGAGCTTGGCTCGGTCGAAGAGTCAGTTTCTTCGTGTTGAAATGTGATGCCATTCTTACTTACCAATCGACAGCATTACGACGGCGAGTTGCTATCGGCACATTGACGATGTTCTTCCAACAATGGACCGGTGTCAACGCAGTTCTATACTACGCTCCATCTATTTTCGTATCTCTCGGCCTTGTTGGAAACTCAAACTCTCTCTTGGCGACTGGCGTTGTTGGTATTGTGTGCGTACTTTGACAGATCCTCTTTGTCTTGCCTGAGCCCGTTTCCGCGTTTTCCTAGCATGTGGGCTGCGACTATTCCTGCGGTCATTTGGGTCGACAGGATAGGCCGAAAACCTGTATTGGTATCAGGTGCTCTTATCATGGCCGCGTGAGTACATGTCGTTGTATCCACAGGGCTATCAACTGAAGGATTTAAATTGCTGATAGCTGTCATCTAATTATCGCCGTCCTGACCGGACTATTTCAACACACATGGCTGCAGTGCGTACATCCAAGCTCGTCTTCGAATAGCGTGCTAATTTGCATCAATTGTAGACACAAGGCTGCCGGTTGGGCGGCTTGTGCACTCGTTTGGGTGTTTGCAGCAGCTTTCGGCTATAGTTGGGGTGAGTAGATCTCCTCGTGAAGAGGAATTAGGGCGCGTACTAATTCGGAAACAAGGCCCATGTTCTTGGATCGTCGTTGCGGAGATCTGGCCATTATCAGTGCGCGGAAAGGGTATTTCTATTGCTGCGTCCTCGAATTGGGTGAGCAAGCTCCTTACGACTAAAGAAACAAAAGAAGCTCACATCTGTTTAGATGAATAACTTCATCGTGGGCCAAGTAACGCCTACTATGATGGAGAATATCACGTTCGGGACCTTTGTGTTCTTCGGGGTAGGCTATCTCATCTCATCTGAATCTCAACATGATGAACCTCATTCGAATCGTAGTCTTTCTCGTTCCTGGGTGCTCTATTCATCCTGTTCTTTGTGAGTATCATGCATAGCCCCCGAATCCATATATAACCTTGGGATATCGTTCAACTGATCCCGATTTGCTAACAGGTTCCTGAGACAAAAGGCCTAACCTTGGAAGAGATGGATAACGTATTCGGGTCGCAAGGCCTTGCGACGGCAGACAATGAACGTCATCTAGCGATAGAGCAGCGGATTGGTCTCGATCAGTACGGCTACATAACGTCGGATGCAGACAGCTCTGAGAAGCAGGAGGTGATGATGAAGGCATGATATTAATGAATTTTATGAATAGCCTTGTAACTTGATATGCGTCAGCTCTGGTAGTACTGTGATATCTCTATGACCATCTGTATTTTGTACTTACAATCTCTCGGCAACCATTATCACTACCGTCTTGGACGCGCACAGTGGCACAGGCGCGGGTGGTTTATTATGCGTATGAGTGTTAAACCATCTGTCTGGAACGGGTGCTCAATAAGTCTGACCATCTGCAGCTGGTATCAGCGGCTCAGCTACATAGCGACGGTCACGACTCGCTCAGTCTCGCTGGGACTCCTTAGTAGATTTGGAGCCGCGTGGCGCGCAAAGTCGATCACGTGGCATTTGCGCGGACGCGTCGGTGGCACGCAATCATCAATGGCGTCGCTCAGGCTCAAGCCTGTCAGAGCGCGTTTCAGCTCTGAACACACAACTTACCACTGTGGGCACGTCAAGTGCCAGTTCGACTTTATGTCTGAAGATTACTTAAAAAATCTGAACGAAGCTCAAATCCGAGGTCAGTCGACACACTTGCTCTGCAAGTCAACGTTCGACTGTGGAATATTTTAGCCGTCCAGCATGCACCAGATATTCCCCTCCAGATTCTGGCGGGACCAGGAAGCGGAAAGACAAGAGTGCTTACATGCCGTATAGCGCATCTAATACAGCACCATGGAATTTCTCCGGAGAATATATGCGCTGTTACATTCACGAACAAGGCCGCGAGCGAGATGCGCGAGCGACTCGATTTGTTAGTCGGAAAACAAAGGACGAGCTCGTTGAAGATGGGTACTTTCCATGCCATTTGTGCGACATTTTTGAGGAGGTATGCAGGATATGCAGGAATAGAAAGCAACTTCTCTGTATGTGGCGCAGATGAGAGGTAAGAAATCTTCTGAAGGGCTACGCTGTTACTGACGACGTAATATAGCAAGAAAATTATCAAAAAGCTATTAGAACCTCATCAAAAAAGCCTCATTTCACAAAATCTTATTTTGAAAGACGAGTCTGTGTTGTCAGCCATCTCCAAAGCAAAGGCCAAGGGAAAGGCTGCCGATGATCTCCTGGCTGAGTGTAGTCCAAGTCGTAGCCGGCGTGCTGATTCCGGAGATTCACTGAAGAGCCAGCATGCTGTAAGCCTGGACCAACTTGTCGCGAACATATACCAAGAATACGAAATGGCTCTCAGGAAGAGCAATAGTCTAGACTTCGACGATTTGCTTATTTTTGGGGTCAAGCTCTTTGCTGAGAATCGCTGGATAGGGTCATGGTGCAAACATATATTAGTCGATGAATTGTGAGTAACTTGTACTGTGGGCGAATAATCTGATGGACCCGTTCGTCTCAAGCCAGGATACGAACACTATGCAGTATCAATTTATGCGGCATGTTGCTAGAGCAAATAAATGTGTGACGATTGTAGGCGACCCAGATCAGTCAAGTAGGCCTTTGGTTTGAGCGATACGCTCGCGACGTCTCATTCTATCCTACAGTTTATGGCTGGCGATCTGCAGAAGTCGAGAACCTCACTAAGATGCAAATAGGTGAGATTTTATGGACGAATTATCGTACAGAAGACTCAGCTTGTCAAGACTTTCCAAGAACTCAGCAAATCTTCCTAGAGCAGAACTATCGCTCTACAGGGTCTATTCTAGCTTTGAGCCTAGCAATAATTTCCCAGGGTGGGCCTCTCTTCGAAAACATAGTGGCAGCATCGCCTGATGAGAGTGCACCAGACAGGACTCGGATTCAAAAAACATTACGAACTACGCAATCAAATTGGGCTGCTCCTGTCCTTCGTAAATTTCCTACTGAACAAATCGAGGCAGCATCCATTGCTGCCGAGATCAAGCGTTTGATCGCTTTCACTGGGGGAATGCTTGCTTGGAGTGACTTCGTCGTACTCTGTGAGCATAACATCTTCTGATTAGGTGCCACCTTGTTGACGGCTTTACAGTGCGTTTTACCGCTCACTCACGACTTATCGAGAGTTCACTTCAAAGGGCAGGTATTCCAAATCGTGTACTAGGTGGACAGAGATTTTTTGAACGACAAGAGGTTGGAATGTTTTTGGACAATACCGTAGTGTTGCTGATACTTTCTAGGTCAAAGATATTCTAGCTTACCTGCAGCTCATCGACAATCCTCAGTTTGCTCCCGCATTTACTAGGGCCATTAATGTCCCTAGCAGAGGGATTGGCGACAAGGTACCTCATTCAAGCCACTATGTTGTTTGTAATTATTCTTCTGAGCACAAATTATGATCCCATCAGACCGTCTCGCACTTACTATCGGCTGCGGAGACCATGCGAATATCCCCACTCGAGGTGGCAAATCGCATATATAACGGCACTCTTCCCGACATTCGTCCCTCAGTAAAGCGAAAGCTTGCGTCATTTGTGCCACATATTGATCGTTTGACTCAGTTAGCATTGCAGGTATACATTGAACATGAAGATTGAATCGGATACTAATTTTTCTTAATCAGGGAACGTCGCCTGTCATACTTATTCGCAATTTACTGGAATTAATCGACTATAAAGCTCACTTAGGAAAAACGCAGCAAGACTGGGAGAATCGGTGGGATAACATTCAGGAGCTCGTTAACTTTGCTAGAGAGACAGAGTCCCAGGAAGACCTTGAGGCACAGATTGGCACGCTTGGAGATGCGGGACCTATCGAGGTTGATGACTTCAACGATGACTATATCAATGTAGACTCTTTTCGAGAAATTGGTGGACGGGGAAAAGAGAAAGCCAGCACACCTGGCCTCACAGCTACAAGGTCATCGAATGTAGTTGTCAATCTGCTACATCTGACACCGTTGACAGGACTACACCGTTGCGTCGGTTTCTTCAAGCTTCTCTTCTTTCCACAGACACTGAAACGGAGGCAGACGAACGACGCAGAGGGGTAAGTACACATCCATGTGTTTTGATACTCATTAACGCATTCACCTTTAGAAAGTAACTATCTCTACGTGCCATGCGGCGAAGGGACTGGAATGGCCGGTTGTAATGATCCCTGGCGGTACGTCACCTCGTCAAACTGTAAGGCCGTCATTAAAAATACTTGACAATCCAGTCGAAAAGGGCATCTTTCCTTCACATCGTGCAGAAGATATATACGAGGAGCGGTACGTTCTCAGCTCTTATATCGATCCTTCGCAGATACGGGATTCTCACTCGCCTCTGTCAGACGACTTTTATACGTCGCATGCACTCGTGCGCAAGGTCTTCTGTACCTCTCACATACCAACACCCGTATGGTTTCCGGCAAGACTTTAGGTTCCGAATTGTCAGAATTTGTCTGGCCTGTGATTTCAAACAACCCGGTATGCGTTGTCCACTATGATGTAGAGCCAATTTTGTTCAATTATGGTGCTAGGTCGCATTCAATAACCACCCTCCTGATATAATGCACTCCGACCGTGCGTTCCTAGCGCAACTGTTGAGCCGCAAAGCTCCTGAGGAGGCCGAGGTTACCCGAATGGTCACCGAATAGTAAGTCAGATCTCATGTACGTCAAACTGCCGCCATGATACTTCTGCAGCAACCGAGAACATCCACCTAGCCTTGAGAACTATAGCCATATAACCAGCAGAGGTACACATGACTGGCAAGAGCTTCCTACCGCCCACGTGCCAGATGTTCCTCAAGGTGAGCCGGTCAGCTCTTCACTGCAGGCTACAATAGGCCTGACAATACGGCAGTCTTGCCAGGATTCAAGCTCGCTTCGGATGGGATGCCTAATCCACGGGCACAACCGTTGTCCTCATCGCGGGGTCGTGCTGTCAGTGCCGCTTGCAGTCGACCAAGAGATGGGTCATACTCACCAACACGGATCCGCGTTGACGGCGCTTCGTCAACGACGCGAGCTATGAGTGCTACGAGCACACGCGTGGATGATGCCAAATCACCAGTAATCAATGCTAGCTCAACGACATCAAAGGGGCTAGAGTCCACTCTCGACTTTCCCGGAGATGCCATGGAAATGCATGCGTTTCCTCATTTGTTTTTCCCTGCTAGGCCGTCCTCGCGCTTGATAAGCGGAGAAAATCTAGGATCACCCCCGTCGTCGAGTTGGTCAGCGGCAGATATCCAGTCGCAAGGCCGCAAGGCGGACACCTCGCTGTTGTACAATTTAGCACGAAATAACCAACGTCTAAAGTTAGGGCCCCCCTCGTCATCGAGCCTGTCGTCTACAAGCACTCTGTCCGAAAGCCAGCAGTCTGGTCCGCGGTCAGCCGCCACTACAAGTGATGTACGGACAAAGATCACCCCATCAGCATGCTTGTCGTCTGCAAGTAGCCGGTCAGAAGACCAAACAGCCTCGACGTCAACAAGCACACGAGGGAATAAGCGGCATCTTGGTATGGGGCGAACAGCAGTAGGTTATCCAAATAAGAAGTTTCGAATACCCACCGGCGACCCTTGATTTTGAGTCTGAGGCACGGATTCCCCGTACATATGGTACAGACCTGTGTCGATTGCACACACTGTTCCAACCCCATACCACCATCCTTGACAGCTAAGCCTCCCTCTGGTTCTGTAATTACGTTGTGGATTATGTACAGTACTGCTGATTCACTGTAATGCCAGCGCTGGTATTCATCCTACCCGGTGATTCTTGCAGCCTCGTGGCAGCAGCAAGGCAAACATGCAGCTGGTTTAGGCTCTATAGAGCACCTCTGCGTGATCTGAGAAATCTTGAAGGTACCTCCAACACTAGAACAGATCCAAGGAGCATTCTCATTATTCCCTATCGCATATTTTGTGGCAACAGGAGGTACCAAAACGGCTACTTGGCAAGGTATCATGCATTCAATCCGACGAAGGAAACAGAAAGTCTGATCCGACGTGTCTGTCTTGCGAAGCGCAGCCTACACGAGCTCGAGCATGCGGTACGCTCACATCTTTAAAGCTCCAGGCTCGGAGCGTTGATACCTCCTGCGCGCAGCCTCCATCGCTCTATCCATCCATCCTATCATGCCTCACTCAGCAAAGAGGAGCAGCAAACCCCGCCATTCATTCGATGCCTTTGATAAGCTTTTCGAGAAGGCATTTGCACCCCGAGTGGCACCTGCAGTCGCGCCTCTGATTCTGCCCGCAGATCTCAAGCGGCCGATGGCACCAGAGCCGCCCACCCCGCTCACCCCGGGATTTGGCGGAGATATACAAGTTACACCGCAGGCGGTCTCGCTAGACCCTCTGTGGGATGAGGTGAGACAGAAAAAAGCGCAAGAGATCGCTGCTTCACCACCCAAGGCCAAACTGCGCGGGCCTTCACAACAGCCTACAACGAAGGGAACACCGCATCGATCCAAAAAGCGTGTCACAAGGTGGGTCATCATTTTGACCAGATATAACGCGAGGAGTTGACATGAAAGAAGTGGTGTACACTTTAAGGAGTCCCCAGATGGCCAACAGGTACGATATATGATAGGATCAACGAGACGGCCGTGGACTGGTGCTTGCAGATGATCGCGACATTCTACATGCAGAATGTCAAAAAAGAAGACATGCACGTCAGCTTTCGATCGAAGTGGCTGCTCGTGAGCTGGCAAACGGTGAAAGTCACCGAAAAGAGGGAAGGGAGGGCAGTCGTGCGGGAGCGAGTGGTCACCAAGCATAATCAGACAATCTCGCTGCCCAAAGGAACCACGGTGAGACCACGGGGTTGTATCTGCAAACGGAGCATGTTGACTGACGCGGGAACTGATAGTTCGATGAAGTTGTCGCCTCGCGGGATGGAAAACATCTGATACTGACATACCCGAATTCGCGGTGCGTGAAAATCTGCGCCAATCTAGCGACCGTGAGCCCATAGCCGTCTGCTGTGCTGTCCCTGCACTTATTTGCTGAGCAGACGATTCCGTCTGAAGCTACTGATTATTACTCATGTTCACCCCTGAGAAACAGTCAGCATCGTTCAAGTACCAACAGATGAACATTTTACATCTATCCTCCCTTAGCTTGAAGAGACTGGAATGACCATGTCGTAGCTGTCATGCGTAGCGGAGTAGTGACATAGACATGCGAATGTGCTGCAAGTATCCGACTGGAATGTTTGATAGAGGAGTCCCGGAGGGCCCTTCCATAGACAAGACGTCCTAAGCAATGATGTTGCTCGTATATTGACCATTTTTGGTCTTTTGTATGCGTCTATTTGGTCTTCTCTACCTAGTTTACTCCACGCGTTGTTTGAGGTGCAAGGATACAATGTTTCTTACGACTATGATGCTGTGATCTAGTAATTACTACCATTCTCATTATCTCTCCGAACACCCACACCGTCGGAGCGAAGCGACGATGTGTCTCGTCCTTATGACGGTAAAAAGACGACGAAAGCGCCTCGGTCACGCGACTCGTGTCAAGATGCCGAGACGACGCGTCGCGTCCGAGTTGCCGATGGTACGCGTCCAACTCCAGACTGTATCTGAAAGCCCCAAGGCTGACGCACTCTGTCGGCCAATCTGTCTCCTCTGTCGCCGCACATATGTCCCTACTGACGACCATGTTCGGCAGGTCAAAATCTGACAGTGTCCAACAATATCCTGGCCCTTATTTAAACCCGAATTCTGACGTCTACCACTCATCAGCACAACTCTCCTATCCACGGAACGACCTACCTGGTGTACACCACGCATTCTCGTCCTCCGCACATCCATCCCGATATCCTCACATGCATCCTTGGGGACACTTCCACGCGCACCACGGCTGGCGTCACTTCCGCCACCACCGCCCTTCCCGTTTCGTATGGTTCTTCGTTGGCGCCGCCTCTGCTAGTTTCTTCTTCAAATCGCGGGAAGCACACGAGTGGAAGGCGCGACATTGCCGGCGCAACCAAATTCAACAGGAGACATGTTCTTCAGCTAGTGCCGCAGACTCCCCCGTGCCGCGACAATCCGCTGATCTTTCTCCTTCCGCTGTCGACCATCGCTCATGGGGCTGGTCCTGGAGTTCGGACAAGGGTTTCAATTCATGGGGCTCACCTCGACACCAACGGCAGGAGGCGGATCAGCAGGAGGCGGCACAACCTTCGCCTGCGTTCTCGACTCCGGCAGTTGATCGTTGGGACGAAGAGCGAAGGCGCATGCAGGAGCTCGGTAAACAAGCTACAGACACGGTGAATTTTCTCTGGGATAGATACTGTACAAAGCGCTCATATTCTATCTACTTCAGATATCCGAGCTCTCTGAGGTAACTCTTGATTCCGTCCTTTCCACGGTGCAGAGTCTCAAAACCGTACGTCCCGTTCTGCTGATAACGTTAAGTGGCCGATTGAACGTCTTATATTAGAAGCTTGCGGAGAATCGAGCTCAGCGCGAGCAGCATCTGCGTGAGATACAAGCGTTGAAAGAAGATCAATACAAGATGTTTGAAGAATGGAAGAATATGCAGGATCAGAAGGCAAAGGAGCAGCAGTCTTCCCAGACGCGTCACCTTGTTTAAAGCTTCGAAATATGTATTTTATCTTGCGACTAGCTATCCTCTCCTTTATTTAATATCGCCAACTTGTTATCATTATGCATATTGTACGGTGGCTCTGACTCGGCGGTCGGCCCAATCGCTTCAGCCACATATTCCATTCGATACGCACCAGGGCGCTGAATTGACTTCAATTGTGACTTGATTGTGACATCTGAATGGAAGAACTGTGCTCAAGATATACCCTCAAGTTCCGTGCTCAACTGACCACCTCGCTTCCAATCCTCCTTTCTGTCTGGTAATCAGGCGTTGCTCGCCATGACATTCCGATTGGTTTATACTAGTATCACTGGCTACTAATTGGCTCTTGTTCAAGTTTAAGGCGAACGTGGGCTAATCTCGATAGATCGTAATCGAATACATTAGACTGCTTTGGTAAGTACGTACGGCGGCGCACCAATTTCTGCTACTTAGGACATTGGGAACAACATAATATTGAGGGCGGCCACAACATTATATGTGCTGCACCGCTAGAGTGCAGCATGTCTGAGAACGGCCAGAGACGGTAGCCTCGCTTGAAACTCCCACTTTTGAATCTACCGAGTATCTCATTTGCTGCAAAATCTGAAATCAGTTCGTCGGATACGCTCCGCTAATCACCCATGCGGCCTTACCATGATTCCGACTAGTAGCCTTGAAAGCCGCACGTACTTACGTAGACACCTCCGACACATTTGGAGCGCGTCTTGTGGTTGTCTCCGAAAGATATCTAGCCATGACACAGGTCGGATATCCGACGATGGCAAGCCCGCGTCTTTCGTAGCTTTGGCTGTTGAGCTTGCCAAATGATGATCAGGTTGGTCGTTTGCATATGCTCGGATTATCTCCGCGATGCCGGAATCGGAGCAACTGCCAGAGCTGGTGGCGCCGCTCATCCATCTTATCTTATCTGACAAACTGCGTCTCCTTAGGCAAACACGTAACCGAGGGTTTCGAATTCCCTGCATAAATGTCGCGGACCATGCCCCTCAACTCTTTCTCATCCCACGACGTTCACCATGTCGCCCAGCAGGCGTCGCAAGGCTCCCACACCCTTGCTCTCAATTTCCCCACCCTCATACGCGGTCCTTGTATTGCTTTTAACCTCTGCGTTCCTGCTCGGTCTCGCCACTGACTTCAGCTTCCTGCCTCGCTTCCACTGGCCTGATTTTGCAGCTCACAAAGACTTGAAGCCTAGTTATGGTGCGGAATATCAGCTCTCTCATTCATAGCTGTAGCTGCTCATATCGAGAATGCAGAATTTCCAGACTTCAACAAAGTCATCCATTTTCGTACCTTGTCAGCGCGCGACGCGGGTTTAGGTGAGTATTTTGATCGTGTGCAGGCTGCCTTTTCAGCAATGACATTCTGGACAGACGACCCTAGTAGGCGACTCCTTGTCATTGGTGATGTGCACGGCATGAACGGCTCCCTTCAGTGAGTGCCTGTATCCCAACTCTGTCCCACTTGTCGTGCATTTGCGCCCAGCTGTCTGGAAGCGCGGTACACAGCTCAGCCTACCCATACTAGTCGGCGCTGTCTTTCTTCTATTGTGAACGGACTCCGTAAGATCTCCGGATCATCCTGTCTTCTATGGTCTCCGCAGCCATCTTTATTGCCGCAGATCCCGCATTCACGCTGCAATGCGCAAGCACGCCTTCCTGGGTCCTGATTCCCATCCTTCACATCAGAACGGGGTTCTGCATGCTGATCTCGCATGTCAGCCTTCTGTTTCAGCCGGTAAATGGGCTGCGACGCTTGCCAAGCATTGCGAATCTCTCTAGTTCCGGGACATACGACTAGTGGTTCTCCGAGCCCTCCTACCATCGGCGTCCTTTCCCTTCTTCTCTTTTGCGTGTATAGTCATTTGCTCACATTGTCGCTCATACAGCGACCTCCTCGCTGCAGCCTCATGGAACTCCAATACAGACACCCTTATGTTTGCCGGGGACATAATGGCCAAATCTTCTCATTCCGGCTCCCTTGCTGTCCTGGATTTCATCACTAGACATGAGTGTGGTTCTGCACCTGGCCGTGTCCACGCCGTGCGCGGTAATCATGACCAGATGGTCACTCAATGGCGCGCTTGGCGCGACTGGTTTGAGCCATTGGAGCTGCAGCTGTTGTCTTCATCTGTACCACCGCCATCATCGGATACCCGACCGGGTCCTCCGGTGCACACAGGGCGCGCGTTCTTGGACCTGATTGAGTCGGAATGGGAATATGCGCAGAAACACGATCCGAAGGGCTCGAGTGACCCCGAAGAATGGGCAGACATTGCACGCAAGCGTGCGGCGGGCACGTGGCGCTCAGAATGGTGGCGCCGTGTTCCGCGGTCAGGAAAGGGCCATGCGAACAAAGATTTTATCATTTTTGCAGACCACTACTGGATAGCTAAGTGTGTACGCATACTGTATGTGGTGTTATGGCGCTAACTAGCGTCAATGATCCAGAGACATGTCTCAAGCACAGAGAGAGTGCCTATACTCTATGCCTCTAGTATTGCATGTACCATCAGACCATTTTTTCGTAGTCCACGCTGGTCTCCTCCCCTCGGACCCGAAACGCCCGCTCATGGATAAGCGCCAGCCGCTCGCACATCCCCCTCACCTGATTTCGGAATCGACTGACGGACGTACGAGGGATTACGACGAGATCTCTGCTTATCACCCCCCTGCTTCTCAGAGAGCGCTTACAGTTCGTCCTGAGAGCTTGCCGATTCGGAATAGGACATCGGAGAAGTTGCGTACGGCTCAAGAGATAGCGATCCTTACAGATATCGCAGATAATCGAGATCCCTGGGCCCTCCTAAATATGCGCGGTGTCCGCAAGTCGGGAAAGGTGACACGGTACGTACGCCTCTATTACCGTAGGATCATCTTATTCATGCTCGTACGCAGACGCAACGACAAGGGAAAGCCGTGGAGCAAGCTGTGGAACAACCAGATCAAGAGATGCGGGGGCTTCGACACCTGGAGTGAATCCGAGGACGCGGACAGCGATGTGCTCTCTTTGCCGTGTGAGCCTGCCACCGTCGTGTACGGTCATGCAGCGACCCGAGGTTTGGACATCAAGCGGTGGAGCATGGGCGTGGATACAGGATGTCTGTATGGACGGCAGCTGACTGCGCTTGTCCTGCAGCGCAAAAGTAGCAATCCAGAGGCTCTACCTGGCGATCATTTGGGCGATGACGATGACGAGGAGGAGGAAGAAGAATATGGTGGTGGTGATGACGATGACGATGAGAGACGCGGCATTCGTGGGTCAAGCTCTTTGAACTCGCAGAAGCCCAAGAGGAAGCCGAAGATGGGTCGCGTGCAGTTTGGGGATGACGATTCGAGGATTGATGCTCGAATCGTCAGCGTCGAGTGTCCAGATGGGGCCGATGCTGATACTGATTTTGATTGAACCTGTTTGAAGATGAGGCATGCAGGACTACGTTTTCGTTGGCGCCGCATCGCAGCGTTATTTTATTCGGAACACATTCCGTACAGGATACATTGCATTACTGCATCTAATTCTACTCTACAACATCAGCTTCATTGCTGTTCATGTGCATTTGCACTACTAGTAACATCCCAGACTCATATGTGTATCGGATCACAAGTAATATCGCATATTGCTCTCCAGATCCAGACTAGCCTCAGTAGCTATCGTAGTCCGCGAAGGACATGCTCGCGTACATAACTGTGTTCGGGTAACAATACATGCGACAGATAAAACATCGTGACGGTGCTGACCAGACTCCCCTGGAGAAGAATATAGGAAGAGATAATTTACGAGGCGTAACAAGAGTGACACAAGCACAACAAGATAGAGTAGAATACACTTTTCGCTGGGGCAAGCCACGAACATCATAAACGCAGGAGATGAATGCTTCCTCACAGAAATCAGGAAGAGAGTTTCCGCACAACGTAGCGTTCCCAACTGGGATACGTAAACGTTTCCGGGCGCGTCTTCAGGGAGGACGGAGATGTCGGTTTGTCTGAATTTTCCGGTTTTACCGGTTTTCCTGATTTTTCCTTGCCTCCAGAGTCACCCAGGTGAGAGAAGTAGGGAAGGTCCACCGGAATATCGATGGTTAGAGGCAAAGGCGAGATCTTTAATCTGTAATTATCGTAGTCCGTCCGTGGAAAAGGCAGCGTTTTGGGTAATCTCCGCTTCGCTCGCAGGTTGGCTTGCGCAGAAGAGGACGAAGATGCCGAGGGCTGTGAGCGTGACGCAACATTGTACTCGGTCGTTGTATTGAGAAGGAAAGAGAGGTCTGTTAATGCTTCCGCATTTGTGGGCTGAATCTTCAGAACAGACCGTAAATCTGGGAATGTGACGTTCGTTTAGTAGTTGAAGGGCACACATAGTATATATCGAATCTCACCTTGTATCGCGCCCTCCATGCGCCCTTGGGCCTTTCTAGCTTGCGCTCTTCGCCAATAGCCTTTAACGCTTCGATGTTGACCTAGAGCTAGATCGCACGCAAGCTCAGCTGCAGCGTAGCTATGATTGTGCATCAATACATATTGATGGATGAAGCAGTGATAACATACTTATGTAGTTTGAGATGAGCCGCTGCAAGATTCAGCTGGTAGTGGGACATTTCGGGTTCTACTTGATGCGCCGCTTCGTACAGCTTGACCGCTTGCTCGAAGTCGCCTTTTTTGAAGGCAGCATTGCCCTGCAGTTTGAAGAGTAGACATACCAATGAGCATGAGTCAGATAAGAACATGGGAATCCATTGACCAGTTCTTTCTCGCGCTCAGCTTTGAGGTAACGAAGCTCTGTGAGCTCATTGACATTCATGCTGGATTCTGCTTTTTCGTCATTGTCTCCTGGTTCCGGATTCACGTCGAAGTCTACCTCCCAGAGGTCTTCTTCGTCTTCGGTTCCCCAGCCAAGTACACCACTGCCTGCACATTAGGATGATTGTGAGCGGGGCGATCCTATATATCATGGACGTGATTGAATGAAAAGGAAGAACGAACCGCGTCCATCCCATTCTCGCTCCTTCCCAGGACGGATGCCACTCGAATCCTCCTCTTCGCGCACGGTCTTTTCGCATACCTCGCTCAAGTGATCAGTCGAACAGCCACAATCGCACCATTTAGTTGTGAGCTTCTCGCGAAGAGCACCTCCATATCCGCGCACGTCAAATTCGCATGCAACACGCCAGATGGTTTCGCAGATGCGGTCATAGCCAGCGCCCAGCTGGGTGAGACGATCTGCGAGCTCTTCTGAACTTGCGCCACAAGGATTAGCTCTACACGCTTCTTCAATCATTGTGAAACCTTCGGTCATCGGTCCCAAGTGAGGTGGCTTGGTGAACGTCGGTGGCGGCATGGATTCCAGGGAATCGAGGTGGGCTTGCAAAGCCTGGTAATGTGGCAAGAGCCGGACAGAGTGGAGCCCACGTTTCTTGCATATAGGCACATTGTGGGATATCGCCTTGGAAAATTGAGATTGGGTAACAGTGACAGATATGATCTAGGACGTACAAAGTGCCTAAGGGCAGTGTAGGACCACAACACGCTCTTCGTCGCGACTCGCTCGCCTGCTTGTCGCAGATCCATACTTATGACCGACCGGAAGAAATCCTTTATTTCATCGCAGTCTGCATTGTACGCTACCCATCCCGGTCCACCTATGACTGTGCATCGCATGATGAACGTGGGGAGTTGATACAGGGCGATAAAATATAGATGTGTGGAATATAACCGCGCTATATCTTGCTCGAACCGTTTTAGCAGAATCCGAGCAATCGCGCGCTCTAGCTGAGACACTGCAGTCATCGCCTCTGTGACAGTCTTGCCTATCTGACGATCAAGGTGAGGATTCGGATTGCGGTGGTCGTTAGGCGGATGACGGAAGTGTAGATGCGAGTGACTAGTGTGATTAGTACTATTTGACTTCCTTTGTTGCGCGGAGGCGCGTTTCTTTACATGTGAGTATTTAGCCGGCATTGTGTGGTGTGTGCTGGCCTGAGAGAAGAGATAGGGTAGTTGCGGATAAGAGTGCTTATATGACAAGAGCTCAAATGTCAGAAAAGGTCAAAGTTACACTGCCAAGACACTTACGGATTTCGAGCAGGCAGTATATGCCTCCAGCTGCGCTGCGTATGGCGTACAAGCCTTGCTCGGCAGCAGCGTATGAGATTGTCTGACACCCTGTTCAAAGCTTGCGCGAAGCAAGTGGAATATAGCAGCGCGCCTTGCCGACAGTAACAAAAGAGAACTAGCTGTGCCGCTCAATAAGCAAGTCAAGGACAAAATAGCACACAGCAGTGAAATACAAAATGAGGTCCGCGGTCGTCGCAGTGAACTGTGCAGGTGTCAAGCGCGAGACTCGGAGTCTCAGAAGTCGGGTTCGGGGGGTGGCGGAGCGCACTTGGTCCATGGACAGAGTTATCTACGATGATGATCAGATCGGTCTACATAGGAGCCACTTAAGTAAAAAGACTATTTACCACTAGCTTAGCAGCAATATACAAAGCTGCATAATCAGAATAATTACTTTATGTTGTAATCCCATTGCCTGTTCCGTGTATCTGCGCCTCTCCAACGTACTTTGTTTGCTCTTCATGTTCTGTCTCTGTAGCATATGGCTTAACAAAAGGTCTCTGTCGTCAGCTGTAACCGGGAAAACTCGGTGATCCTCATCTTGGCTTCAGTTGTGGCGCCACGAACCGTTGTTTCATTGACTGAACTTAGGTAGCTATCATGGTCGCTCCGGCCACGCTGGAGCCCATGAATGCTTCTCCTCACCATGCAAAGGTCAAAGTATCCCTTACACTCTCGGATTCTATGTTTCTCGCAGGGCGCAGTGTCACGGGCAAGATGGAAATGGAATGCAAAGCCGACAAAGGTCTTGGTATCGGCGTGATAATGGTCGAGCTGGTCGCAGTAGAAGGTATGTTTATTTTGCAGTATTGTTTTGTTCCTGGTCCCATCGTCTGTCAGAACTTACGTCGCGCGATCATTCGGCAACATCGATGTTCTTGCATAGTAGACGTCTCTTCCAAGGGCCGGGACTTCCGCCCTCCAATGCAGTTCAGGCTTATCCAAACCCTGGCGACCCTTCGTTTCCTGCTCATTACTACCCAGCACGGCGCGGGATCTCTACTTTCTTCTTCAAACTTCCTCTACCAGAATCATCTCCATCGGCCATTGATTTCGGATCCGGCCTGGCGCAAGTGAGATATGAGGTGCGTGCGACTGCAGCAGTCGCATGGAAGGGCGAAAATAAGTTAGTATTCAACAAAAGGGGAGTCGATGTGGTCGAGAGCTTTGAAGAAGACTTTTCGAGGGTGGATCAGGAAGCTGTCGTCGTGGGTGAGAACGGGAAGATATGGATCCAGGGTAGAGTTGTCGGCGGTTTCATGGTTGCTGGACAGCCTGGCTGCATCGAACTACAAGTCAAGAATCACTCTGCTAAAAAGGTTTGTGAGATAACATGCCATGCGTCTATTCCAACTGAATAAATGATCTCGGATATCCAGAATACGGGTCTTTCGGTGTCTCTGATCAGGGAACTGTTTTTACCCAATCAGCCTATCGCCCAGAAGCAAATTCTCCAAATTTCTGATACGCTGACATCGGTGTCGTTTCGTGGCCCTGAATACGTCATCAGTCCCGGCGCAGAGGGTGTTGCCAATCTTGTCTTCGACCTGCCTCATAATGCTAGAGGTGTCAAAGGTGGAACTCGTTCTGGAAACGAGGAAGATGATAGGACGGTCGATCCACTTTTTGAGGTCAGGTGTACAATCCTTGTGAAGTTGACGATGGGCATCGGCAGGTTGGTTGTCTTGTAGTGTTTTTGAAGTTATGTGTCATGCTAAACCCATCTAGCAAAGATATCGTTTTGCGCCTTCCAGTAGCAGTGCTACATCCGATAGCTGTACCCGACGTCGATCCGTATCTGGCGCTTCCCAATCCACATATCGCTCCTACGTATGGTCTAACAACCGCGATGGCGTATTCCCCTCCGGTATCACCCGCTCCTGCACAAATCATGAGTAGATCACTCAGTCCAGCAGCTCCAGGTTTCCCGCCCGTATCACCTCTTCCCTACATTGACCAAGGTCAAGTGTGGCTACCGCCACCCATTTATCCAGTGTATCATACAACCCCCCCAGCACCCTTTACCCAGCCCATGTCTTATCATTATTACCACAATGTAATACCGTCACAGTCACTGGTTGCACCATGGGTATCCCCTCCACGACCTTCAAGTGCGGAGCCAATACCCTCACAGCCGCTCTATGGCTTGCAGTCTCATCTCCCTCCTGTTCCTCCTATGCAGCCCTTGCTTCCTCTGTCAACTGGGACAGAGCATATAGCGGAGCGCGAAGAAGGGAAAGGTGAACGTGCATCACGCATTGCACTCCACCTGCGTATGTCCTCGCGCCATCGGTCGGCCTCGCCGCCTGCACACCGCTACTCGATGCCAACTGCGACAGAGCCTTTCGCACCTCTTGCGCCCACTACACATACATCGTCATTGCCCATTCCTGTTAACATTCTAGAGGAAGTTGCAAATCTTAGCTCTACTTCTTCTCCACGAACACAGCGCCACCGCTTGTCACCGTTGGACGTATCAGTTTCTCCAGCGCGCTCTCAGGACTCGATTGCCTCGCCGCGTCCGATGCTTTCCCCCCAACACTCGTTCTCGGGCGACCCGTTTGATCAAGTCACACAGGTTGAACAATTGGAGCGCGTTGCGGCGCAGGCCGATAGCGCGAGCCCAAACATGTCTGTTCCCGGTCGCGCATTGAGTCTAGATGCAGACGTACAAGACAAGACGTTACCTCGCATTCCTGATGGCACGCATAGGACTAGTCCCGCTATTGATGCGCTCTTCCACATCGATGACATACATCCAAAGGACACCCCGCCAACACCTACACTTGCAGCAATAACATCTCTCAAGGTGCCGCGTGCTGCCGGTTTGGGTGTGGGGCTCAGTGGGCTGGATGCGCTTGAGGCGAAGCTGTTGGCAGAAGTAGGGACGCGGAAGCAGGATAAACCGGCACGACCAGACGTACGATCTGTGCTGCCAATTGCAATTCCTCGAGGAACGGACGGCGATCCTGCGAACGATTCAGCGATTTCAAGTCTAACCTTACCCGGCTTGGACGCGGATGCGAAGACGTTACGACTGGGGCGGACGAGTCATTCACCCGATCAGGGACAACGGGAGCTAGATGACGACAGAACCTCGACTGGTGGGCGGCGCGGCCGAGATAATAAGAGGAGCAAGGGGGCGGGAACAGTTAGCATGCGCAGCCCTAACGATAAGGAGAACGCAAGTAGCAAGAGAAGTGGACAGCGAGTTGCTACGACGAAAGATGAGGAGATACATCGATTGAAGAAGTCTGCTCAGGGAAGGGTAGCAGCGTGGCTGGGATGCATAGATCCTGACATTCCGCCGCAATCTGGCACGCCGCCTTCGGCAAGCCCTCGCGGAGGTGAGGCTGGTATTGATGATATCGCGCCAATAAATGCGCCGAATCAAGTGGAAGCATCGCTTGGGAGCTTCCAACTCCAGGCTGCTAGTATGGCGGACCCACCTCCTATTGCCCTTTCCTCAAGTGAAGTCAAAGAGGTAGCCAAGCATATCGAAGAGCCAGCTCTTTCTCAGAACACGCCTAGGCCTGGTCCCATTCCTGACGTCTCAGCTCTACCGAACCCTCGATCCTCTGGATTCGTGCCAATTGGTACGCTACAGGTCAATCGATCTCAGATAGCTATCTCAACCAAGTCCGGCGCTGACCCGAAGGATCTCGGAAGAGTAAAGCCATCGACTCGATTGGCAGTATATCCCCCTCATCCTGTCGATTCGGGTGTGCGGTACGATGTGCGTTCTGCTCGCGGCGGAAAAGGCGGTAAGGTAACCTCGGTAGCAGCAATATGGGCGTCAGCTGCAGAGTCAACCTCCAAGACAGATAAAAGCAATAAACCGACTCCCCGCAAGCGTCTAGAGCCTACGCCTTTCGAAGACGCCAGGTCAGGCAAAACGATTTCTAAGTCGGCCAGCCAGTCCCCCAAGCCTCCTATGAAGCCCGCCGCTTCTGCTGTGAGTGTTCCAAAGATACCACAGCCAGCGACCAAATCGTCGAATATTGCCCTCCCGCCCGCTGGTGACATCGCCGCCAAACGTGCGAGAATGGTTAAATCCTCTTCTGTACCTGCCATCATTTCCTCCTCCCTTGCTACCCCTATGTTGTCTTCGACTGCTTCCTTGGCTCGACCTACACCTCGTCTGAAGGAACGAAACAACAAGATCAATGTATCACTAACGCCATTAGCCTCGGAAGACAAACCAGATGCAAATCTGGTGAAATCTCAGGGCGAGCTAGCTTTTGGTCAAGCCCGGCTGAGAGAGCTTATCAAGCGTTACCAAGGACAGCCGAATAATTGAGCATGCCAGAAGGCAACCTATATATTGCTAACCCCACTATCGTATTTTTCTCATCGCTCTTGGAACTATTTTACATGACTTATTACAATTTTCAATTTGCTGCTCCATGTCATTGATGTAACTTAAATGTAGCTGGAACTGTATTGACATAGCGCATTGTTCACGAAATGTTATGAAAGTTTCGAATGTCGCAACTCAAGGTAGCATATATTCCAAAGGTCCTGGCAGCTGTGCAACACAAGATCCAATGCGTCCAATGCGAGCCCAAATCCCTTATTCTGTTTCAAAACCAGATTATCCCTGGTTTTGCATCAGAATTCCAGCTTTGGTACGATGCGACAGCGAGGAAACGTTTAGAATTGGGAGCGACTGAGCATGTATTCAAGGTTGTTCTAAGCAACTACAACAGCTTCTTACATCAAAAGTATTGCAAGGGCTCATCATGATGAACGAAAGAGTCATATTCTCACCACCTAAGAAGTGAACATCCAATGCCTCTGTTCTGATTCCCGTAGTTTACCCCGTTACCTACGTACACGACATACCTACTGTCTACATAGGGCTCGGCCCTCGCGGACAATAAAGGGATTCGAAAAAAGAAAAAGAAAAAGAAGTGAACAAGATGCAGCCATATATGCCACCTGCAATACTATCTACAGTAGACCATGTTCGTCCAACATTTCCAAACGCGCAACTTGCCTAGACACTCGATGAGTAAACGTAAGAAAAAAAACCATGTGTTGACATACCTGTCCCGGACAGCCTCCTGCCATCTCTGCAGCTTCGCAATCTCGTTGACCTGGAAGCCAAAAATCCGCGGACGGTACCGCTCTGCCTTCAGTGCTACAGCCACCGTGCTGAGCCCCTCCTGGACAATTTCCCTAGGAGTTTCTTGCTCCTCTCTATTTCTCCTATTTCTCCTGCTACTCTCCGCATCGCCGCTTGTCCGCAAAGGCACAAAATCAATCGGACCACTTTTGGGGGGGATAAGGGTAGGGTAGACAAGGAACAGAAGGTGGGGGAATGATGTGCCGAAATACGCGCCATCAATCGAGCCATGCCGGGACGACTTTGGAGAATAGATGTCTTCACAGCGTCCGCAATAGAGCTTGACAGACTTTTCATACGGAATATCCGTTAAGCCGACAGGGAGGAGAGGCTGCGATTGACACAGAACGCGTGGGCAGCGGCCGAAGTCGGCCCTCTTGTACTTCTCAAGCTACATGGAGAGTCAAGGTGTTGCATGGGGGTCATAGATCATATGCATACCATCTTAGCTAGACCGCGAGCAGTGACAATCCAGCGCGCGTGAATGAGACCGTAGAGGAGCCTCGCCTGCACATCTAGTGCACCCCGATGTTCGTCCAGGATCTCGTCATCTGTTGTGCTGGTGAGCCTTCTTTCGCAATCCGACGGTCAAAACAACCAACCAAGATTGTCTGTGATTAGATCCAACGCTTGGGAGTAATGCTGAACCTCCGTGTTTAGGCCGGTAAGATTGAAGCGGTCGAGAATATAGTCGTCCTCAACCTCGCAGAAGTATTCGTTCCCCTTTGACGATAGGAACCACGAAATCCACTGCCGCGAAGATAGTTAGACATGTATATTTGCCTATAGAATCTGCGGTAGTACCGAGCTGGCGTAACATAGGTAATGAGCGAAAGGGTACCCCGGAAATCCGTGCACCGTACTTTGAATAGTCTGACTCCGAACCCGTTGAGTTGTTATCTTCCACTGTGCGGCGAATCATGATCTGTCAGTAGGCAATGTCGTTGTCGTTTCTTTGTAGTCCAGTACTGACTTTAAGGATCTGTCCGAGTGAGTGAGTTCCAGATGCAGATGGTATAGGGAGGAATCAGCCGAGCCTGAGTTCTACTGAAAGCGGCAGTCTGCTCAAGCTCAACCAGGACGCCGCCTCTGTTCTGCGCATATCAGAACATCTACCTTCCGTTTTCATGCTGACTGTTCTGAGCACACTCCACCTACCGTAAACTGGTGTCGCAATTGTCCTTTTGCTGTCCTCGGAATTCCGCATCGTCTCGTGAAGTCGATGCTAGGCGACGTGGTGCTCCAGATGCCCACGGACTTGCGCACACCCATTTCTTCCTTGCAACTAGCCCACGAAGGGACATCCAAGCGGAGTGGGATTACAAGACTGACAGTAGATATACCATCGTCCCACCGTCCTCAGGTCGAAGCCGGTCTGCATAATCCACCGCGATGGAGAACACCTGAATTCTTTGTGTATGGGGCATTCTTCTGTGTTGTCGTCCCCATCATGGTTTGGATACCCGTGCAGTTGAGCTCGTGTATGTCCCCGTCATAGTGCGTGGTATTTGCGCTCACGTCGATGCGTAGCCGAACATCCAAATTTTAATATGTATCGACGAAAACTTTCGCCAGGTTGGATTTCTGGCAGATACGTTGTAAGCCATGCTATTTCCCTTCAATCACACTCGCACTGAGATTCCGTAGGACAACAGTGATGCACAATACCGCTCATTTCGAAGTAATACATTACCTCTAATATTTCTTTCCGGAGCATTTTTTGGCCTCAAGCTTCTATATTCCCGGTCCTTACGGCGAGTGCGCCTAACAGGCCCCTCAAACAATTCGTATCTTGTTCCTTTCTTGGCCCTCTTTTCCCTAATCATGCTCGCGGGCCTTCATGGTGCGAGCGTTTTGAAAGTCCTTGTAATTCTATCCGCGAACTATGCGCTTGCCAAGACATGTGGGAGTTCTCCAGTTGGCCCCGTGCTTTCGTGGATTTTCAACATAGCCATCTTGTTTGCGAACGAGAAGAATGAGGGCTATCGCTTCACTAGCCTGCATACTGCGCTTGAAATTTTGGTACGTTTTATGTTTTCAAAGGCGTATACCGTCATCTTAGCTCTAGCTTTGTGTGTGGACTATGTCAGGACAGAGCTAAGGGTATCTACCCGCGTTGGCATATCAGCTTCAATATTACTATGTTACGACTTATCTCTTTCAGTCTGGATTACTACTGGGCTTGCAAGCCAGCAGGCCTAGCGGATGTGAGCCGCGCCATGTCTTCCTGCTATCAATTCGCTGAATCCATTTTGATAAGCCAGGCGGCGTTTTGAATGAAAAACAGCGAGGCGCTATCGCTCATCCGCTCCAGACATATTCTTTCGTGAATTACATAGCCTATGCCCTCTACCCGCCCTTGTATATCGCTGGTCCAATAATGACGTTCAACGACTTTATGTGGCAGGTTGTAAACCTACACTATAAGATATATAGCCCGGCCCTAACAATATGTTTAGATCCATCGACCAGTGGCTATCCCTCTGCGCAGGACCTTGAACTACCTTCTTCGCTTTGCTATTTGCTTCTTCATGATGGAGCTGATACTCCACTTCATGTATGTTGTCGCAATCAAAGATGCCAAGGCATGGTCAGGCTACTCGGCAGCTCAGTTATGTATGATCGGATTCTGGAATCTCATTGTAGTCTGGTTGAAGGTAAATACTGTATCCTGGCTAGATGGGTGGTAACTTAATCATGATGACGTAGCTACTCATCCCATGGCGCTTCTTCCGCCTTTGGGCCCTCGTAGACGGTATTGATCCGCCGGAGAATATGGTTCGATGCATGGCAAATAATTATTCCGCACTTGGATTTTGGAGGAGCTGGCATCGCAGCTACAACCTCTGGATTGTTCGGCGAGTCTAAGTTCTTCTGCATTTATGCGATGCTAATCGTTGTCCTCACTAGCTACATCTATATACCCCTAGGAGGAACGAAGAATGTAGTGTTTACCTCAGTTCTGATCTTTTCATTCGTCGCCCTGTGGCACGATCTATCATTCAGGCTCCTCGCATGGGGCTGGCTTGTGAGCTTGTTCATCTTGCCAGAAATCATAGCACGGTTCCTCTTACCTCCAGCAAGAGTACGTTTGTTCGAGATGCTTCACGTTATGGAATTATTAATGCTTATATCTTGTGGATTAGTTCGGCACTAGGCCATGGTATCGGCACGTTTGTGCTATAGGCGCTGTGTTCAATATCTTGATGATGATGAGCGCCAATCTGGTAGGATTCGTTATTGGGACAGACGGTATATCCTATATGTTACATCAAGTTCTGGACAGCTGGGAAGGTGTGTTACTTTGGGCACCGATCATAGTACATCGCTGACAGATACACAGGAATACGATTTCTTGCCTTTGCATGCACGTGTTTATTCGTTGGCGTACAGGTCATGTTCGAGTATCGGTATGCTGGCACATTTTATCGAGTTGTGAATATGTGTATTAACTCGTGTTTCTCAGGGAGGAAGAACTACGTAATGGTATCATTCGTAGATGTTAACATCGAGTTCTCAATGTTCAGTACTTGACGTTGAGCGAGCGCTGAGCTTTACATGGTAACCTAATGCCTGTTATACGATACGCCACACCTCAATTCTCACCCCAATGAGCTACCCTGGTTTCCGGTAGCTAAGTGGTAGGTGCTACAGATGATTCATAGGTGGAAATTGATCTCTGGGAATCGACCACGCGTGGGAGCCGATAATGTGGGAAGACGACTGTTGACGATCGTTTTGTATGATGCCCGATGCGTGTGTCCATTGCTACCCTCGATGTCGATGCTCGTTCTCAGGTCAATAGAAATAGCGCGGAAATCGCGAGCCCTCTTAACTTGCCCTTCAGACAAACTTAGCTGGTCATCGACTTTCAGGCCGCCGTCCATATATATAACCGGTTACTTGTGGATCATATTGATAGGTAATCTGCGGGCGAGATACGACTTCATCCAAGCATCAACATCGCCTTTGTTTCTTATCCCTCGATGAAGCTGATCATTCTGACTTATGACGATGGTGCAAGCCAGCTTCAACCACGGCGGGGCGGGACCGGCGACTGGACTAGGACTCTACCCAAGAACGACAAGGCATGCTTGCGGTAAGTGTGCGATTTGATTCTTCAGCGAGAAAGGCATGGAAGGGCAATATGTTTTATTTACAGGCTACCGGAGTGGACCGGTGTTCCTTAGTGATTTCGGTTTAATGGGTCTCACTGTTCTTCTTTTTGACCTGAAATATAACAGGAATCGGTGTACAGGACAGCAGGGTACTTAGACATGGTAAGCTTTTCACGCACCGTAGTCAAGCAATCCTGTGGGAATTCATTTACAGAAGCAACTCGTCTATCCGATCCTTTATTCAGATGCCCAACGTAGCGAGAATATAATATTCTACTCATTGCGTGCATAATGCTACGCCCTGCTGTAGCCCAGACCATACTTATCACTATCTGATGTAACGCTGTCAAGCATCTGTCGCGGCACTTCCCTTCCGTGAGCATTTACTTATTCCAGAATCTAGCATCCATGTGGCGAACAGCTGCTACCGGGGTTCATCCGTTTACGGCGACTGTAGACGATGATTTGTCTGACTATTCTTGGCCTGATGCCAGAGGCGGCTGCAGAGGATGGTTATCTATTGATTGACTATTTCACGAACGATACCGAAGTATTACCATGGTACCGGCGATTGGACTGCCTCAAGATACACTCTGACAGCGATGGGACTCCTTTTAGTGGACTAGATGTTCCTGGGTAGAGGAAAGTTCAACATCAATGTTTTATTGTCCTCCTGTTTCATTGGTATGAAATATTATAGATGTGATTCATCTAGATCTATGGCTTGTAGGTACAGTGTAGTGACACTCCTTTTCACACCCCTGGTCTTTTTCACACCCATTGAGAAACTTATCCATTTCTATACTGAAAAGCTTCTAATTTCTGTCTTAAGTTATTAGATATGGACACTAGCTACACACCAAAATTAGACCTATCAGTGATGGTGCTATGGCTCTATAAATCTGTGAACCAGCAACATCCACTTGAATCAAAGAGTAATGAATTGTGTTGATGTGCTACTTGTTGCACAACACACATCTGGCATTGATCTTTTGTACTACTGGCATCAGAACACAATTTTTCCTCATTTTATATCTGCTACATCAGGAAAAGTTATTGCTATGGTAGTTCATTATTGATATTATAGTTACTGTGCATCTTCATCAGGAAAATATATATATTGCCTTTTTACTTTTTTTTGGTTAAGAAAGCATAATAAAATTCTAAAGAAGATGCTTGTGTATGTACTATCTAATTCATTTTGAAATTCACATGTAAATCCAACATCAAAAAAGCAAAAAGTATGTTTTCCTGATGAGGCTTGCTTTAGTTGTCTTATTTGTTTGTAAGTTCTGTCAACTGCACTGTAATAACAATCAATGATGTATCACTGATTATGCTGTAGCCTCAGCTGTTTTGATGTATCACTGCTTGAGCTATAGCTTAGATATTTTGATGTATCATTATGACAGGTAGGCCTATTTCAAAGCCTTCAGACCTATATAGAGGCAGTGCACCTTCAGTTTGTGTCTGTCAGGCACTATACAATGATCATGAAATTATTGAAATATATATATGCCTTGAGCATGAGACCTACATGCTCTGATAGGCCATTGAATAAGATATCGGAGGGCAACAAGTTGCAGATAGTGGAGTGCATGGGCGTAGAGCATGCAGCACAAGGCAGTTGCACCCGACTTCTCCGAGTCCGTTTTCACACGGTCCAAAGTCGCATCTCGCGGTTGAGTTCGCCCGTTCCAACGAACAACAGCGGAGTTGAAAAGCCAGAACAGCTGGGTACGTGCTTAGGCTTTGAGATGCAGGTGCTACATAGCTAATAGCCTCCGATGGTTGGTATTTTGGCACATTCAGGGTCATCAATGTACTCACGCGTTTCCATCTTTCAGCCTTTTCGTTCTAATACTTGTGCATGGAACTTAGTGAATTGATAGGCACTGCCTGCATAGTTTTTGGGTGTTTCATCACCAGTATCTCTTGGTAATTCGACATCATCTCAACGTTCTTAGCCATATGGATGCTGTGTGTGCTTAGACTGTATACTTCCTAGGCTCTCACCAAATTTCAGGGACCGTCATGTGAAGCTTAGCATAGCGGACTGTCGAGATCCGAAGGAGTATCTTCCGGATGTTGCGTTACGTGATGTTCACATCCAGGTTAACATTTCTTCTCGAATGCTTGTACTTATCCGTTTTGGGGGTTGCAGTTATGGGCCCGATGCTAGGATGCCACTTGAGATGAGACACATCTTTGAACCCTCAGGAGACTGATAAGGTTGTCATGAAATTTGTCATTTGCTCGCTACCCCTCAGGCGAGGCCCCAGCTACATACACCGTGTCCACGTCCACATTGGACTGCAATGGCGACGCTCTCTAGCGGCAGTTTCTCGCTCGCGCCCACTCTAGGTGCTTGCTACATAGGTACGCTCCTCCTGGTTTCGATCGCACATTTCTCCAGGCTGACGCGCACCGACTCCGTACCAGGGACTGTCTTTGCAGCGATGTAAGACCGACGAGCTCTCTCGCCGGGCCTGCTGATTCTGACGGATGCTTATCAGTCTGTATGGGGTCACTAATGTACAGACGTATATGTATTATAAGCGTTACAAAAGGGATCCCACCATTTTGAAATTTCTGGTAAGTAGACAGCCATTGATTTGTTTTATTATGCACTTACAAGTGTTGTGATCGTTTGTGTTCATGCCTTTAGGTCTTCATCTTGTGGTAAATTCTCGTATTCATGATTTGTGCACCCATGAGCTGAGTGATACAATTCTGCACTGTATATGTAGGGTCCTTGATGGACTTCACCAAGCATTCATTACGCATGCCTTCTACAATTATGCCATTATAGATTTCGCTGATCCGTTGGCAGCCATGGTACCGGAATGGTAGGTCATCAATATGCAGGATTTTCGCATTGCTCACTAATTGGAAACCTCAGGAGTGTGATGGTAAGCTATCTAGAATACCAAATGAATATGGACTTACGCTTGTGTCAGGCTCATGTATTCGTAGGAGTAAGTTAATAGATTGTAGGGATTTAGGCGAGTCTCACATCTGAGTCTATGTTGCTCCTCACAGAGCACAAGCGATACAATTGTCAGAGGGTACATGTGTCGCTCTTTCCCTCGTATTACAGCGATAACTAATCATGTGTTCGCAGACTATTCTGCCAGCGTGTGTTTCTGTGTAAGTTCAGCGTGACCTCCGGGCCACCCCGCAATCATTGATGAATATGAAGTGAGCGGTAGGAATTATCTAATCACCGTGGCCATTGTAAGTATACATATTCGGACTCAATACCTGATTTTCCCTCACCATCATTGTGTGCGGTAGGCAATTGGCACACTCGTTGTATTTGGTACGTCATGGTCTTCAATCCTTTATTTCATCCAACAATTTCTCTTCGATTTAGGCAGTAGTTATGGTAGGGAATAACGCTCTGATTAGACGTGCTGAGTCTAAACCCACTCCCATAACGCAGCATTTGGTATCAAGGGGTGAGTCGCGCGTATTTTATCCTCGACAGTAACAGTGAAATTTTTGTCTAGATTTTCGCTGTCGGACTACTTCGATCTCACTAGCATCACAGTTTGTCGTTGTCAAGTCCTCATCCTATTATCCGCAAAGCTGAAATTTACCCTTAGTGGTTCATATACACAAGTCTCATCTCTGGTATTGTCACCGATCTCCTCATTGCGACATCGCTTTGTGTTCTCTTGAGTCAGCGGCGCACTGCTTTCAACAGGTAGGCATATGGATGGTACGACATCGTAGCTTCCTCCTCTTATTATCAATGTTTTAGGACCAACTCAGTCATCAGGCTGCTCATGATTTACAGCATCAACACCGGGGCTCTGACAACGTAAAATTCTGTCTCTATCGTATGGTGCGTGGTTAGCTAACAGGTTCGCAGTATCTGTTCCATTATATGTCTGGTAATCGTGAGTATGCCGATCCACCCGTTTCGACTGCTTGGTGAACTCCAATTTACGACAGTATGCGACGAAGCCAATTAGCACAAAGTTCGTGTTTATAGCTGTATACTTTGTCCTACCGAAACGTAAGCCTTACAATTGGCACCAGTGTTAGGATGCTAAACATTTGATATTTCTCGTATACAGTGTACTTAAATTCGTTGCTCGCGACGCTCAATGCAAGACAGAGTCTTCGAGACAGGAAGGCTTACACTAGCAGCGGAGGATCGTTTCCTCTCAATGCGCGACCAACAGGTACTGGGTCCAACAACGGATTCAGCATGAAACCAGATGAGCGGGTCAGTGAATTCATGTGCCCAGGTCTGATTCGATTCTGACATGACCGTGAGACAGATCGTTGAAGTCCAGATCCAGACTACCACAGACACACTGGCTGATCCAGCTTTCAGTCCTACTGGGAAGGTGCGTTCAATGGAGAAGCATACTTGTGAATGAAGCTAATAGAAGCACACAGGGGAGCGAAATTTGGGTGTAATAATAGATCATCTGCACGATACAACACGTACACATAGGTAACCAAAAGGACTCGAGGTATCCAGAACTCATTCATAGCTCATCCATTTGTGTTACTCGTAGATAAATTCCGGGACTCGGCATATATCATTAGACAGTGTTTATGGTACTAATTGGGGGTAGCTTCTTTTTATCTATGTTCAGCTATTTGTTGAGATCCCAATAAAGCTTTGATTCCCTGGACCGCCTCCACAGCAGAACTTCTGATAAAGAGCCCTTGCAGCGCCGCCATACTAACGCGCTTGCCCTGCTGCATTTCATGCGCCACCATCTGCTCGACATCACGCCCCAGTGATGCGAGGCGCCCCTCAGTAGGTAGCGGCGCTCGATCTTCCCCACTTGTACCTTCGTAGAAGCTCACAAACAGTCGACGTGCCTGTTCTGGAGTAGCGTCGCCCAAGAGTACTGCGAGGTCCACACGCCCAGGGCGAATGAGCGCAGGATCCAGCTTCTCCGGGTGGTTCGTGGTCATAAAAATGATCCGTTCTTCACCCGAAGCTACGCCGTCCAGCGCGTTGAGGAATCCGGAGAACGTCACGGAAGATTGGTATCTACGACCAATGTGGTGTCAGACATTATAGGGTGGTAGGCTGGATGAGGCGCGACGTACCCGTCTGCCGTGGTCTGCACGCGCTTGTTGAAAGCGGCATCGACATCTTCTATCAACACGAAGCTACGCTCGGGCGTGTTTGAGAGGAGATGAATGAGTTTGTCGTCTGCCAATCCACGCTCGGACAGGTTGAGCAAACAGATATCGTACGAGAGTGCACCCGCAAGTGCCTGGATAAATGAGGATTTTCCGGAGCCAGGTGGCCCGTGCAAAAGATACCCCCGTCTGTATGGAATCCCTAATACACATCAGAGTTGAAACCGGTGGTGAACATACAGAAGGTATAGCCGCACCCCGATCTTCGTACCACTGTCGGCGTTGGAGGAACTCCGTAACATCTTGTTCAATGCGTTCAGCCACGCTTTCTGCAAGAACGACGCTGTGGAGCGGACGTTTCCGTCGCGGCTGCCCAAATGGTCGCCATTCAATACCCCACGCGGTGTGAATCACAAGTTTTCCTTCCTGTGCGCGCAGGGCCATGTCTCGCGCATCGGATAGAAGCTCGCGAAATTTGTTGCGATCACGCGACAACGTGGTGAGTGTAACGGTCTCCCATGGAATGCCCGACATCAGCTGCTGAGAGCGTGTCTCTCGTTCACGCTTCACCTATAGTTGGAGATACGCCCCGAGAATCAGTAAGCAACACATGGGCGCCGATCCTCAGTACCCACCTGAATCCACGCCTGTCGGTACCGCAACCAATGAGTGCCTGGCCCCGCCACGAGCTTGAATAAGACGGAGGAACTGCCATTTTTGCGCTGTTCATGCACTGTCTGGACACTTATCTGATGGCTTCGGAGCCAGGAGCTCGGGGAGAATAGCTTTGGGTTTGCCGCTGCCATATCTCCGGAACGCCGTGACATCCATGTCAAAAACCAGTCATAGGCCGGGTCCTTGTTGCTGATTTCTAGAGAAACAAGCATCCGCCTGCGCAGAGCCACAGACGAAAGGATGACCGCTTGACGGAGTGCACTTAAGCCGACACCGACACTCTGTAATGCACCACGAAAAACTGAATATATGTAACACGAAACGACTCTGACATTACCGCTCACCATCAAACCGAACCCAGCCTGAAAGTATGGACTATGCTTCAGGATGATCCCCGTTCAGTAAAAGACTCGGATGGAAGAATGTGATCCACGCACTTGTCACCTAGAATGCTGGACAACCAACCAGCGGCGTCCGAATTACTCGTATGGGCCACATCCAGCGGCAAAGGAGATGGCTGCTGTGCAATTGGAAGCGCAAGACCATCGGAGAGTGGCATTGGAATTGCGCAGTGTTGAAGCCAAGTCGAATATGAAATCGACCTCTGCCGTCTACCGAAAGCCAAGCCTCGGAGGTGGTCGACAGTGCTTCACAGCAGGACAATTCTTGAATGCTCCGTAGAGTCGTAGAAGGAAATAACAGTCTAACTTCCCGGGCACAGATGGTGGGGAAGAATGCACAACTATTAGAAGCCGTAATGGTGTTGCCAGTGGCTGCTGGCACAGAGCGTCGGAGCGAGAGGCGAAGAGCACACGGGCGCTAGTCCGATTTCGCAACCTCTGCAATCACCAGCTTCCGTACTACAGCTGTCTCGTTGTAGATCTCAAGAGCTGCAAAATTCATACAGATATTTGGAAAAGACTGTAGAATGACGGTACGAATACGTTTTTTTTATTAAAAATCTGGCATGTCTGAGTTGCAGGTCAACCCAGCTTCAAGGAGGGCTTCATTACAGACAACATGGGCTCAACGATTTCTCTACCTGGAATAACTATTGGTGTATCCAAAGGCTCGCCAGATTCATAAATTATTGCTCGCCGAGGTCCTCATTCTGAGGGCGCTGCAGAAATCACTCCCATCTGCGAATTCTTACAAGGTCCCCGACGTATATCCAACTCTCCTGAAACTAGGCCGATGTCTGACTATTTTGAAGTTTGCTAAGACCCCACGAACCTAATTTTATGCTCTCGGACAAGACCACCATTGTCTTAAACGTGGGCTTTGGAGATTGAACACGAGCTGTCCGACCTGCCGTCCTGTGTCCTTCCCGGATACCTTTTGACAGGTGCTAGAATTCGTTCTGGTGTGGAGCAATATCGCAAATAATCTGCTATCCGGGACGCCACGCGAGTTTATACTAGTTGGAAAGCGGACGCTCCCCAAACTAACCGGAACAGAGGTACGCAAGGTCGATGTATGGAGACTCATAGAAGACTCGCTGGGGCGTATCAGATGTACATTTTGAGCCCGTCAAGTCTATACTAGACGTCCGTTGCTGATCTTCGCAAGACAACGAAGTTGAAGACTACTGAGGAACCCGAAACATACTCCCATAGTGAAGTTTTCTGATGAGCTCTGTCCATTTTGATACTGAGTCTCGAGCAGACTCATCCAAGAAATATATTTGAACTGGCTTGGCTTCAAGGGTATACGTATCGCGACCGGCCATCACTTTACTAAAATCTCTAGGTTACTAGATAATCAATACGGCCCTTTTGACTAGCAGACGTTATTTTAGAGCCGGCAGTGTTCTGTTCTGGCTAAAGTCTCTTCAAACTGGCCGGGTTTGACCCAAGCCTCTTGCATGTCTCGCACGTCTTGCGCGTGCCAATTTTGTTTCCCAACTACCGAACTGGCTTGGTTATGATTCTTTCGATGGTGCTGTCTGATCGTGGCCTGCTTGCATGATGGCGAAGGCTGTTGTGAGTAATGTCGTCGCTCTGTACGATATGTCCATCTGGTTTCCGCTTGAGGGCTCAGATGTCCAAATGCCGAACTCTTGGTTTAATTCGAGAGGATGAATATAGTACAGACGATTTGGAAGATGCTACTTTAGGCGCTATTCAAAGTTCCTGCTCAAGCTCAAGCTCGAATTCTCGCTACGAAATATCCACGTGCCACAGCTCTGATTGTGAGACTTGAGCGGCTATATCGAGCGCATACGACGTGGGCCATTCCTCAGTTTCTTCTTCCTCAGCCCACTCAAACTTGAACGTTTTCTTACAGTGATTCGAAGTAGCCATTTTCTTCAATTTATGTGTGTATCGTTCGTCTAGCTACTGGTGAGGGTACTCCTGTCAAGTTTCGTTGGTTGATCCTTGGGCGACAGCATACTATGCATCACGCCTTGTCAATCACCGAACTCGTCAGGCTGATCGTGGAACAAATTCAAATAGGCGACCCACCTCGGTTGGACTCTGATGATGCGATAGATCCTCAGACTCTCGCCAAGCTCGCTAGGACTGCTCGCGTTTTTCGTGAACCTGCTCTAGATCGGTTGTGGTATCGCCAGCAAGGTATTGGCAACCTTGTCAAATGCATGTCCATAAGCTTGTGGGAGGAGCGGCCTACACGTGAGGATCGCATCGTCACAGAATGGTGCGATTGCAGCTCGTACCTTGTATGTTCCTTTGTGTCAGCTTTGTCCGATTGACTAATCTTCGTTACAGACATTCAAGCGACCCGTGGTTCCTGAGGACTGGGAGCGTTTTCACTACTATGCCTCTCGTATCCGCGCGTTAGATCCTCCTGACGGTCGCGTATCTTGTGTCGGGCTGGCTCATGGGGTTTTTGAAGCCCTGTACAACGCTAGACTGTCATCACATCTCCTCCCTAACTTGTCCACACTCTATTGGGACGAAGGATATCATTCCACAGCCTTCAAATTCGGAACCATGTTTCTCGGGCCCAGTCTAACAAGGCTTGCAATTGGTGTCCATACCATCGAATCAGTCCCTATTGCGGCCCTACTACTGGCGCATCTTCCTTCATTGGCGCATCGAGTGCGCAAGATTGACATCGTAATGCACTCGGAAGGGCTGATCCACGATTTCTTCATCCCACCCACAACGTTGGCAGCTCTCGAACGTCTGGAGAGTTTTATTTACCTGTCCGATACCCCTTTGTCAATGACAGCTTTCACTGAGCTTTCATCACTTCCGGCCCTTACAACACTGCGCCTTGAAGCCAGTTCTTCATGGTCAGGGTCTATGCTGGTCGGACCACCGGTAAATATGAGCCATCCATATTCCTTTGATGCATTGAGGAATCTGGAAGTCGAGGGGAGATCCATTGGGTCATGCATCTCGGCACTCAATATATCGCGATATCCCAAACTCCGTGCTGTCATGTTCGATGTAGATTTGGGCACTAGCGATACCATACAAGGCCTCTTTGAAGCACTCAGTGCCTCCTCCTCGTGCACAGAACTGCAGAGGATTACATTTGGTGTTAGATGCGCTTATGGCGGAACCCGACTGGACATCTCATTGCTTCGGCCGGTATACGACTTCCACAACCTGCGTTCCTTGATCCTTACCCCGCTTTTCGGTGTTAAGTTAAACATAAATGACCGAGATCTGGAGAATATGGGGATCGCATGGCCTTATCTCGACACCATGGTATTCGATTACTTCCCTCGGTCTCCGTCCGAAGTAGAGCCAAGCGCGACTCTCAAGGGATTACTGCTGGTAGCCCGGTCTTGGCCAGCGTTAAGGCGGCTGCAGATTGAGATTGATGCCAGGCAGATAGACCTGGACAAAACACAGCAATGTCATGGCCAAGTGGTCAATGAATGCTTACGAGAAATTCATTTGTGCGACTCTCCTGTGGACGGGATCGAGCCAACCGTAGTGGCCAATTTCCTCTCGAGTATTTTCCCGAGCGTGCGCAGGATCGAAACGTACGCCAAGCAAGGTGAATCGCGCTGGAAGATGGTAGAGGAGATATTGTGTAGCCCATGTGGCCATCCTGTCACCTAGAGGGTACATGTGGCCGCGGTGACTGATTTCGTCAAAGGGAACCAATGATGAGTCAGTGGACATGCTCGTTCAGCGGTCAGATTCCTTGTTTTTTTCGAGTTCCTATGCTCGGAACGACCACAAGGCCTTGCATTTGGCTTGCATATGTGCATATAATATTTTCTACAGCCTTGGATATCACGCTGTATGAATCAGGGCGACTTTTGGTATAAGCGTATAAATTTCTGTCCAACGTTTGAAGACGCCAGTCTCCTGTGAGCAGAGTAGATACTTCCTTCATCGCTCTAGTAAGTACTAGTACTAGATGCAGCCTTCGGATATCCGTGATTTTTGACAGAAGGAGAGTAGCGCTGATCTCTGAATTTGTATTCTTCCTCGCCCACGGCTCAACCGTCATATTTTGTCGTCCGACGTGCTTCGCGTTGTCGACGACATCGAGTACTATGGACACTGGGCATTACATTAAGTTGATTCCGGATCCAGCTGCAGTTTGCTCAAGCACTACACTGGTTACGCCGCTTGTACATATATATGTAGCAACTTCAGAGCGCCCGCCCGCGGCCTACCGTTTCGTCTATCCATAGTTTGGCAATGCGAGGGAGTTTTGCTTCTAATCTGAACAAGGTTTTCACGAACCCCGTGGGGGACAGCAAGGAAGGCAACTTGCACTCCGACTATGGGCGTCGGTCGTCGGCTTATCCCCGACCCCCTGTCCTCCCACCCACGGCTCCCACCTAGTTTGCTCTGAACTACCTCTAGGCTACATAAACCGTCTCGAAATTCTCGCAGAAGCTGAATTGGACAGTTGGACAGTTCCACGAGCCGACATGTCGAAACTGGAGTACACCTCTCTGGACGAGATCCCGAAGGTATGTTGCGTGCATTGCCCTGCATTCATAACTGACGGCGAATCGTCAACGACGCACAGATTCACGAACTCTTACGAGCAGGTTTCAAATCAGGAAAAACTAGGCCTGTCGCGTATCGCAAGCACCAGTTGTTGCAGCTGGCATACCTTTTGAAGGACAACAGGCAACGCTTCCGAGATGCGTTCTCAGCAGATTTCAAACGTCCGTATGAAGAGTCTGACATGTAAGTTTATCTATTCAGTATCCTGTCTTATGTTCTCATGCAACGATATGTCCAGGCTGGAGATTGATCCTAGCATAGGCTGTGTTGTGGAAGCATACGACTCGGTGGCAAAATGGGCCGCGCGAGAAAGAGCTCCGTTCGACCAGCTCTGGTTTGCAATGTCACCGGCTATTAGGAAAGAACCGAGAGGAACTGTCTTGGTAGTGGCGCCCTTCAATTATCCGGTCTTGCTGCTGGTGAATGGCTTCGTCGGCGCCATAGCAGCGGGGTGCACGGTTCTTCTCAAGCCATCTGAGTTAGTTCCTTCAATCAGCGGCCTCCTGGCAGAATTGTTGCCTCAGTATCTTGACCAAGACCTATACCGGATTGTAAACGGAGCTGTTCCGGAGATGACAAAGGTACGTTTGTTTCAGCAGTAAACATGCACTCTTTTGCTCACCCCTATGTTAGATCCTGGAGCTTAAATGGGATCACAGTAGGTTGCTCGACTGCTTCGATATTATCAGTGTCTCACGATTACAATAATATACTTTCTCAGTCTTCTACACCGGTGAGTCTTTTTGTGTATCGCTCAGAGTTCACAATTGAATTCGCGGTAGGCGGTGGTCGCGTTGCCCAAATTATTAGCATAGCGGCTGCAAAACATTTAACCCCTCTGACGCTTGAGGTGAGTTCTCCCCTGTTCATCCTATCGCTTTACTTATGTCGCCTTTAGCTTGGCGGTGTGTCCGTAGTATTATTTACTGCTGGTTTTGCCTAATTGAAATCTTGTGAAGGCAAAAGCCCCGTTGTTATTGATCCGGGTTGCGACCTCAATGTTGCTGCGAGGCGTATACTATGGGGAAAGACTATTAATGCTGGCCAGGTGCGTAAAAGAAAACATTGCAGTGGTTATACCGACTCACATTGCGTAGGTCTGCCTGGCCCCCGACTATGCTCTTGTTCCCAAAGATTTCCAGGACACTTTCGTGGCAGCTATGCAACGCGCGTGCGTTCACAACTATTAATCTATGTACTCCTCTCACTGATGAGTCGGCTGTGCCAGATTCAATGAATTCTTCCCAACTGAGTCGCCCAGACCTGGTGTCATGTCATGCATCGTTTCGCAGCAGCATGCTTCCCGACTAAAGCGTTTGGTTGATGAGACAAAGGGTACCATCGTATTTGGTGGTCAAGTTGACGTTGAGCAACAGTTTATATCACCCACGGTTGTCAAGGATGTAGCTGGAGATGATGTTCTCATGAGCGAGTACGCCCGGCTGGATCAGTTTTATCCACAGTATATGCTTATTCGCATGCTTCCTCTTACAGAGAAATCTTTGGACCCATTCTTCCAGTTGTTCCCGTCAAAGATGTGGATGAGGCCATCGAATTTATAAATGCCCGGTTGGTTGTGTCCACGATCTGTCCGGCTTATGAGGACTCATATTGATGTTCTCAGGGATTCTCCGCTCGCTCTATATGTCTTCTCGCGTGACTCGGCTTTCAAGGCAAAGGGTAATTATAAAATTTCTGCTGACGGAGTGTAGCTTATAACATCCCGTCCGTAGTGTTTGATAACACCCAGAGTGGTATGGCAGTTGCGAACGAAGTTGTCATAGGAATGGCGGGTACGCACTTGCTCTGAAGACTGCCGTCTCTTAGTTTGACGACTCGGATTTCAGTTCATGGGGTGCCATTTGGAGGTACCGGTGCGAGCGGACGTAAGTCTTATTTGATTCCTTATGTCTGCAAGTTTTCGACTTATAAACCATCCATTCATATAGATGGATATAGTACAGGAAAGTGGTCGTTTGACGCATTCACCCACCTGAGAGCCACGTTTGACAACCCGAGCTGGTCTGTCGCGTCCCTATCTTCGCATCTATTCCGAGTGTATCTGAATGGCTGCTATCATCATGTAGGGTTGACACTTTGATATTCAATCGCCGCTATCCCCCATATTCGGTATGCCTCGTTGCTTAAATCTCCGTGTATTACGACTGACTAGATGGCTCCTCGCCTCGTCTACCTGATCCGACTTTCAGCGGGGTGCAATCCAGACATTGATCAAATCGTTGCAGCGGTCGTTGCCCCCCCGCCCGGGGACTCGCGTCAGCATCTGGAAACGATGGAGGCTATGGTTTGCGGTGGGCATAGCTGGATTGTTGGCAAAGTTTGGGTGGAAGGCTGTTGCTAGCCGCGCTTGATGAAAGGTTCTTGCTTCATTTCGGTTCATGCTGGATCAATTGCTGGATACATACGTTGGTCGGGATACTGGATATGAGCCGTGTGCACTTCATTCTGATACTGGAACATTCGTGCACAGTGCATGTGTGATAGTAACGATATTGAGAGTGATACGTAAATGGATTGGAATTGCATGAGCCAAGGTCCGTGGATGCACTAAAGCGTAATCTATGTATGAGAAGAACACAAGTACAGTAATGAATCGCAGGAACTCTATCCGTATTAAATTATGATGCAGTTGGAGCATTAGAAGCGACATGGTGCGATACATTTCCAAAATTTAGGAACCATAGGGAAGCGGGTACTGAAAAGAGGGCAGTTGGCAGCTGCGGTATCATATGCGCGATAAAAATCACTCTTCTTTGACAATCCGTCAAGATGTGATGAGAAACGAGCGGTCATCTTGAAACGGGCTGTCCGCCTGGCGCCAATCGAGCTCGGGCACCGCCTCATCGCGCCAACCTTCGTCGTCGAAGGTACGTGGTAGCATGGAAGGACTATCGTCGTCGCGATCGTGTACGTCGGAGAAGTACAGCTCGGCGGCGCTCATCACCGAGCGCCGCTTGTTTGCGTTCGACTTTTTAGGCGGGAGAGGGACTGTCTGGATGGACGCGCGGCGCTCGCGCTTCACGGAGCGCAAGCTCACAGTGCTATCGGTGGGCGAAGCGTGGAGGGAGAGGAAGGACGTGGGCGTAAATGGGGTCTGCTCGTCTTCGCGCAAGCTTATCAGAGAGTCGCTGTCCGAGTCGAATGGTCTACGAGGGGTGCAGAGTGGGTGTCGATGCAACTCGTTCAGGTACTGGGATCACGTACCGAGAACGACGCATTTCCGATTGGAAATCGCCCCTGCGACTGGGGTATATCGAGCTCTGGGGTGTCGTCGGCAGGTTCTGTGTCGGAGCAGTTGTACGGGGACCTGTTGGCTTCCGCATCGGCCTGTCAAGGGGTTGAAATTGAGTCTCGAGCCTAGGCGCTGCTGTTCGTGGATAGTTGGTATGTGGGACAGAAGCGGTCCTAGTATGGCCCCTTCGCCTGAAAGCGACGGGAGATTCTGGGTCGTTCGGTAGAGGAGAAGATGGTCCAGCAATCATGGAGAGAGGCCTAGCATTGTTGTTGGATGTAATCGCATGTAGCCCAGAAAAGAAAAGAGCAGAGTAAGGACAAGCATCCTGTTGTTGCCACATGAGGACGAGTAGTAGGTCAGCACGCACTGTCGGAAATCAGACAAGCATCGACACGGGTGAGGTCCTTAAAAGACAGTAGAGCGGCTATATCAGAGGGCCATCAGAATAAACAGCTATATACTTTACGCAATGAATGGGCAGGCCTCGTGGGATGGGAAATCCGAAGCCTTCATAGGATCACCGGCGGCCCTAGATCCAATGGAAGCCAGAGAAATAACAGGGACACGAACAGATAGCACTGGCCCGTATCACGGGGTGCAATCTGATTTCGGTCGGTAACAGTGTCAGCCAGTATTATGGCATCTGCGGAATGCTGCTGCTTAATTGTCCATTAAGCAGTCAACACTCAACGTTCAACACCGACGTCGGAGATCATGTTACACGCCACTACCCAGCACAAATATGATAGGTAGGTGGAATCGACTACGAACAAGCACGGATAGGCGACCCTGCAAGGCTGGGCAACTACAGATAAACATTCTAAATAGCAGGAAAGTTCACCATTTGTCTGATTAGACCCTGCCATACGAATCAATCGGAGAATGTGCGTCACAGCGCCTGGATCAACCTCGCAGGAGCAGTCAGCGGATGTGATGCATGGCGATGCAGACCACATTAGGCTCTGGAGCTGCTAATCGGACCACTGAATGGATGACCGACCAGCGCTGTGTAGACGGAGAGGCTATGGTGCGGACGTAGCCATAGAGCAGAATTGACTGTTGATCCGCCACTGAATCGCTTTGCGAAAACAGCCACAGAACCAGGGCAATCAAATAATCCCTTCGGAATAAATGAAGGGAAGCCTCAGACACAGACGCACCTGAGTCCATTGACGGTAGCAGCAGGACACAGATGACCAACACGTGGCACTATGCCAATGTGGATGGACACGGTATGGAAGTACAGAGAAGCACGGTGTCCGAGACCACCGTCGACGATCGAAAATCCAGGCCATGGCTAATATACGTGCATGTTGTGGATAAAAAGGCCTAGAGCATTCAGTCCTCATAATAAAATTAAATCACGTACCATTTATCTAACAATCAAATGGTTGTGTGGCAGGTGTCAAGCGATATATTGCGAATCTACGCGACATACAAGATGCGCGAGTACACGAATCCGGCTACGGCCGTCCGGCAGCATTGGCTTGGATCTTGGCTTGTGTCAGTACACCTTGTTGCTGTTCCGCGAGTACCCGTCGTTTGTTGAAATAATCAATCTACACGAGTCAAATACAACCATCAACGGAGAAGAAAACCACATACCCAGCTTTTGGCGCAGTTTTTCTCATAAGCGGCTACTTGGGACGCGCATGCATTGCCTTCATCGCCAGCTTTCACGATGCCCTTCTCATCAAGGCAGGCGAAATAGGCATCTCTGCTATCCCAGCATTTCTGCCTATCTGATCTGGAAACAGGATCTGGTTTCTCTGGTGCTTTGGTGCCAAATAGACCCATTTGACCGACAAGCTCGAATGTAGTTGCGCGGAAAGTACGAACGAACTCGGGCAGGCCACGAACTCGCCACAAACGGAAGTGGCCGGCAGGCCAATCACGTGGATCCCCATGTATCATATTGCCTTGCGGCAGATTATATCCAACCTACTGTACAAGTTGCAACCTAAGTTCTACAACGCGGGCCGCGGCCATCCAAGCTTCGAGACTGCTCATTACTCACACCTTCGATCACTTCTCATTGATTGACGATTCAACATACCCTTGGTCGACAGGCCCTTGCGAAAATTCGCGCTTGACACCCGCGAAGGGCGTGAGGCAACTGTGCCTTCCGCCGCGCTGGTGTCAGTACGCGGCGGATACGACTCAAACATTGGGTTTTTGTATAGCTGACAATGGCATCAACACCCACCCACTCTCACCCACTCCTGTCGGACGAGGTTTCATCGCGAGGGCGACGGTCGCGTGGTAAGCAGCTCTCGGAAGACTCCAGACCTGCTACAGACTACTTCTCGCTCAAGGCTCAGTTAGAGAGCAGTGCAGAAGAACACACGAAGTATAGCAATGCTAGTTGGGATGGTAGCGTTCGGGGATATGGAAAAGGCGGGAAGCGCAAGTCAGTCGAAAATTATGTTACGCATGTCGCCACTTGACTGATGGGGTTCTCGAGCATAGGTCCGTGAAACCTACGCCGGTCATCGTTGTGGAGTCCTCCAGCGGCCAAATAGCGACATCAACAACAGGGTCACACGACGAATTCGATTCAATCATTTCCGACCCCATTTTAGCCGACTCTCAGATCTTGCGTACTAGATGGCATGATATGACTGACGACGCCATCGAGTCTGCTGTGCACCAACTTGGAGACTCCGTGCCTCAGTCGAGCCTTCCCAGCCATCCCTACAACGCTGTGGTAAGAGCCTTGTCTTCTGCCGTGTACTATCTTTCCAGAGCCAGGCGGGAGCTGGAGGAAGGTCGCAAACTATTGCAGGAGAAAGAAGCTGCCCGACGCGAGAGGGCGAACCAGCTTCTTAAAGAGCTATCGCCCGCAGAAAAAGATGTCGCGAAGCGTGTCCTGCAATCGCTCTTTCCCAATGACGACGAGGAGACTCACCAGGTGCAGAGACGTCATAGTCAGTTGGTGAGGACGTTAATTGACCCCTTTTTTCAAGCCATGCTGACATGTGACAGTCTATTGCTGAATCCCTTATAGAAGCCATTGGGGACGATGTAGCTCTATCACGAAGCGTACCCGATGATGGCATTACTCCTTTAGCAAATGGGTCTTCCATACCTATTCAGGAAAGTCCAGAGTCCACCGAAGACGATGCCGGAGAGATACTAGACAGGACACTCTCGTTGACCATATCTCACCCAGAAGGAGATGGAATTGTGCCCAAGAAGGCTGGTCATCCAACTTTCGGTACAGATATGACATCTCCTGAAAATCTCAAGTCTGACCGAAGTTCACTGGGAGATTGGATGGGTGGGTGGTGGGCAAAAGGCAAGAAAGGGCGGACGTCGTCGCCGTCCCGTCACGACGCCTTGGAAGGAACACTTGATCACGATGCTGCACATCCAGCTGCAGCGGATGCGGATGATGTCGCGTCTTTGCCCTCCATTCCTCCGACACCGAACAAAGTTAGTCGTCGCAGAGCTGCACGAAGCGTCTTTGGTACGCTTGGCTTCTCCATACTGAACCCATCTGCATCGGTGGTGCCACAAAAGAAGCGGCGCAACTTGTCTGTTACGGACATCCATGCATTTGATGCACCTTCGGACACCAACGGAGTAAGGAGTGTGCGCTCCGCTGCATCCTCTCCTGTGAGAAATACCCCTCTTCCTTCTCATCCTAGCTCCTTGCAGTTATCGAAAACTTCATCTCCATCAAAACCTCTCTCTGTTATTTCTACTCCGACGAAGTCTGTTTTGGAGGAAAAGCCACCCCAAGGAGCCTCCTTGCGCGCGATAATCCAAGCCACACGAGTGATGACATCAGACCCCTCTAGCATTCTAGAAGACCAAGGACAAGATACGAGTCCCTTGATCGCTCAGCTGGCGCTGCAACTCGTTCAAAATGCACGAGAGGAAGGTTTGGACTTTCGGGAACGACCTAAGGAGAAGAAGGAACGGAAGATCGAGAAGGTGCACAGCCAAGACCAGGTATTGAATACTCTGCCTCTCAGCCCTGTTGGGGAAACAGCACCTGCAGCGAACCGAACGCTTTCTGGTACACCCCGTAAACCCCAGAACCGTAGAAAGCCTAGCATTAATCTACCGTCTTTTGCGTCGCCCCTCTTTGGCTCTTTCATGGCACAGCAAGAGAAAACAATATCCACTGTCGTGAGTGTAGTGCAGAAAGGGACCGCAAACTCTCCTCAGTTGCAGGTTGGTTCTCCAACTTCACCGCAGACAGCAGTCCGTAAGCCAGGGTCTGTGCCGCTGGAATCAATTATACCTATTGGAGCAAAACCCCCCACCCAGTTTCTGTCGCGCACATATACGCCGCTTACATCTCGCGATTTCCAGTTCTCGATACCCCTTCCCGATGTTGCTTCGGCCCTCTCCGTATCGTATGATGAGCATAACCACGAAGGCATGACGGATCGCTACGGATTTCTTTATGATATATCCAAGTATGATTTTCTGCTTCTCGTCCGGGCAAAGGAATGTGGAAATACTGCCCCAGCATGCTTAACTGGCATCAAGATCGCTGATCGCAAGGAAGACAATGATTGGCCGGACGAGGGTGCGACCGTGGACGACACAATCGAAATCGTCAAGGATGCATGTGAATGCGACGGTGCGGGGGATGTGCCGGATTCCGCCAGTATCAAGACCTCCAGCACGCGACCGACTATCCATAGCATGCCCGTCAGTGAAGCCGATCCCACATCTTCACAGGTCTCCCGGGGAAATTCCCCATCTTCTGCCAGAGGCAGGGGACGCACACCGGCTGTGCATGGGGGCCCCAAGTCAAATACGTCTATTCTCATCGTTGACGCTGATACACCGCGACACATCTGCGTAAACACCATCCGCAAATTGCTTGCGGGGCTGGTTGAGATACATGATCAGCGCCAGGCAACACAGCGCAAGGAGTGGGATGTCTTCGTGAAACGCAGGGCTCACTCTGGAAGAAGCATGGGCACGTCTAATCAAAGGACGAGCTCATCAGGCGGCTTTGGTGGTGCGGCGGCGCTCCTCGGGCTGGGTACCGCCGTCGATGAGGATGAGTTGGTGCATAACGGCGGCTTAGTAGGCTTTGCTCAGCTCGGACTACCCGCCTATCGGGATGAAAGGAGGGAGTTTATCCGACTCGTCAGGAATGGCGTCCCTTTGGCATATCGATCCAAAGCATGGCTCGAGTGCAGTGGGGGGTTGGAGATGCGCGAACCCGGTGTTTTCTCAGATCTGTTGGCTCAGAAAGATGACGGGAACGGCGCTGTTCGTGAGGTTGAGAAAGACGTCGGAAGGACGATGCCTCTGAACATATTCTTTGGCCGGACAGGCGCGGGAGTCGACAAGTTGCGACGGGTTCTGATTGCGTACAGCAGGTCAGTGCAATGGTCGATCTGGTGATGCTCCACAAACTTAGTTGAATGATATACAGGCGAAATCCTGCTGTCGGATACTGTCAAGGCATGAACCTCGTAACATCAACTCTTCTACTCATTCATGCGGACGAAGAAGAGGCATTTTGGACTCTTGCAGCTATGATAGAACGCATTCTTCCGGAGGACTTCTTTTCTCCGTCCCTTCTGAGCTCCCGCGCGTGTCCCCTCGTCTTACTTGACTACGTTCGTGAGACGATGCCCAAACTCCATTCACACCTCATAGAACTAGGAGTCGACCTTCCTGCGATATGCTTTTCCTGGTTCCTTTCGCTTTTCACTGACTGTCTGCCGGTCGAGGTGAGCCTTCGCTGGTACCATGACATAAATGATTTTTGATGACTCATGGTCATATAGACTCTCTTCCGGGTTTGGGATGTATTCCTCGTTGACGGCCTAGATGTTCTCTTCCGCATCGCGGCTAGTATTTTACGCATGAACGAGCAGGAGCTATTGCATTGTGGGTCGATTCCTGCCGTCTACGTTGCTCTGGAAAGTCTCCCAAACCGGATGTGGGAGACTGATAGATTACTGCAGGTTCGCTTAGTCTTTACCTCGTGTGCCCTTCTCGCGCTCACTGATATTTCTTTTCCCTGACTTCTAGTACGAGTTTGAGTTGCGCGCCACAATGGTTCATACTGAGCTAGTGAAGAGGCGCAATGCTCATGTTGCAGAGCTGAAGAAGTGCATGGCTTAATGCTGTCGTACGTTATACCGTCGCACCCCCACTGGAATCTATATGAGGATTGGACCATTCATATACATAGACTACCCATTGCTACATATCTCCAGCAGACCCATACATTTCAGACATGTATTAGCTGTGGTATCACTTATATTTGCACTCTAGACATCCACTCTTACATTCAGCCCTGCATCCTTACTATTCAAAGCAGCTTCTAATCTCATTGCAAACCTCCCCTATATTTTACTTACAGATTTGAAGGCTATGTGTGTACATTAGCATATAAACAAGACATGCAGATGTCTAAGCATGAGTGACTTACTCAGGAAAAATGGCTTGGTGCTTAAATGACCAACAAAGACACACATGAGTCTTTGAGTTACTATACAGTAGGGCACAAAAGTGTTGTAATATTTGCAATAGTTGTATTGCTAGGCCTATATCTAGTAGTGAACCCGCCATCCAAATATAGTACCTATAGGTATTACTGGAAGGCCTAGGATCTGGGCTATATAATAAACCCCACAAACATGTGATTTAATTAGGTACTGACTGAGTTATTGATGAATTGTTACCCTAAACCCATTGCAATGGTTTTGTCCCCTGCATATTTGACTATGGAAATCTATTCTGTTTTGCCTGTAAAAAATATGTAGTGTGGGAAATGTATTATGTGATGATATATAAGTGTAAGAAGGATACAAACAACCCCAAACAGCCTCTTGTTCTTGACCACCATCATTATAAAACCATTTTCTAATACTCAGACTGACAATATCCTCTCTTTGCTTAATCTGGGCCAGTCATCAAGGCAGATATCCCATACTACTGGTGTACACTACTCTACTGTCAGCAGAATATGTGTTAAGGGACCTAACGACTGGGATCAGGAGTTCAACTGAAAACTA